AATTATTATTCAAATTGTGAATCTAAACCATTCCCAGATTCCCTTGAACACACACAAAAAATTTCATCAAAATCGGTCCAGTCGTTTGAGAGAAGTTCAGTGACATACACACTCACAGAAGAATTATATATATAAAGATTCAAATTGTAAATCTAAACCATTCCCAGATCCCCTTGAACACACACAAAAAATTTCATCAAAATCGGTCCAGTCGTTTGAGAGAAGTTCAGTGACATACACACTCACATAAGAATTATATATATAAAGATATATGTATAGATATAAATATTCTGCGCGCGTTATGTCATGAAGGTCATGGCTTCTAATCTCAAGCTTCGCTTAATTAGTTTGTCGACTAACAATAAGCAAAGATGTACCAAATCAATCTTTTCTTGGACTCGTCAACCATAAAACATTTGGCATTACATATTACAGATTAAACTTAATATCGTTAATCCTTGCTGAGATATGACCAATATTGTAATTGATTGCCGAGATTATTTTGGCGTGTTTTGAAAATATTCGCAGGCTGATATTTATCTACACTAATAGCATAAAAAGGAAAAATTTGTAAGTTTGTATGTATATGATAATCTCTGAAACTACTGATCTGCTTCTGAAAATTCTTTCAAGTAGGGGAGCCCAAGAGGGGATTTTCTGTAGTTACTCGAGCGCGGCAGATTAACATAAAAGAGGTTACCTTGCACTCTATTGAGTACTTTCACCACAATAAAAGTCTTCTATATAAATCATCATAAACTTTATAGTCGATTTTTGCCTCTTCGGCTTGTGCAAATCGGCAGATTATTGAATTGGACACTTTTCAGGATGTGACTAGCCTACCACACCTTAATCTGACGGTTTCAAGTATTTCTACCTTATCAAAACATTTTTTAAATATTTTAATCGGCTTCCCTATACGCGCCCCTTTATATAGAAGACTTATATTGTGGTGAAAGTACTCAATAGAGTGCAAGGTAACCTCTTTTATGTTAATCTGCCGCGCTCGAGTAACTACAGAAAATCCCCTCTTGGGCTCCCCTACCATAAGTAATTTTTAATTCCATAATAGGAAAATTGGTTTAATGTCAAAAATTAAATAACTTTCAATGAAATCGGAAGAAAAGTGACAGTTCAATTGCTTTAACCCTTCAGAGGTTGAATTTTCAAAAATACTTTCTTAGATTTCAATTTTTAGTTTGTAGCATTTATACTTTTTTAAGATTTCGTAGTAAAGTGTAAGTGAATAGTATTTAGTTAACAAATCCTAAAACAACCAAAAATATAATTACCTAATACAATTATACCATTCCTTAGATATTGATTTTTCTTCTTTAGAGTTAAGTGCGACTACCCTAAGTTGGAACGATTCCAATATAAAGGTAGAACTATTTATATCATAACAAAGAACATATTAAGCCGAATGGAGAAACTTAAAAGTCGGTTATAAGACAATTTATAACAAACATAATATGTGTTTTGTTTTTTTTTTCTTTGAAAATCTTATAAAATAAGAACAGTATAATTTGTTTCTACGTACTTTCATATAAGATTATTGCAATATAAAAGACTATTGGCTTGCGAATCATTAAAATCCTGTTATTAACGTTACTATCGTAATAAAACGATGTTTATAGCAACGTTTGAAAAACTAACAATGTCGATGCAGGTTCTAATACTACAAATGTATTGCTTTAAAGACGGAAAATAACAAAGCCTAAATACTATCAATACTGATATGTACAAATCTATATATGTATACAGCCCTTTTTACCGTCCCACTGCTAGGCACGGGCCTCCCTTCAATACGAGGGGGATCAGGCCATAGTCCACCACGCTGGCCAAGTGGTTGGCGGCCTTCACATGTCTTTCGAAAACTTACTAGGTTCTCTCAGACATGCAGGTTTCCTCACGATGTTTTTCCTTCACCGTAAGGCAAGTGGTAATCATGTTAGAAATGATTAGCACATGAAAATATCAGAGGTGCGAGACCCGGGATTTGAACCCGCTTATCTCGGTTTCCCAAGCAAGCGCGTTACCACTGGGCTACCACTGCATTTAAATATATAATATTTAATTCAAATCTATATATACATAAATAAAACAAAGTTCGGTTTGTTAGATTACTTATAACTCGAGGACTGCTGGAGCGATTATCATTTATCATGTTTTTAATTTGTTGGATGTGTCTGCCTCGAATAGCAGAATAACTATTAAACAATTTGTTTAAAAAATATATTTATTGTTGATTTTTTTTAAATCCGCTCGACCGATTTCGATAAAAATTATATGGGACCACCTGGGAAGTATACCCTTTCAAACGAAACAAAAAATTTCCAGATCGGTTCAGGCGTCTTCGAGTAATCGGTGAACATACATAAAAAAAAAGATTCCGACGAATTGAGAACCTCCACGTTTTTGGAAGTCGGTTAAAACTTGTAACTAAGCCGAATCTATACATTAAATATTTTTTGGAAAATCTTATTAAAATAGACATTATTATCGATACAGAGGCGGATTTACTGCGGAAAAATATCTCATTTTTGAGAAAAAATACCAAAATTGCAATGTAAGAGTATACTAATATGTAAAACTTAAGAATTTGGTTTTTGGTCATCTGAACGCGGGCGGAGTCGCGGGCAATGCTAGTAAGTAATAAAGTGTTTGTTTATTCTACATTCACGCAATAACAGAGCAAGTATACTAGCCTATTTTTTTTGCATAGAGATAATTCATGGGCTCAAGAGTGGTGGGTACCTACTCTCGAGCCATAACATAAATATGGAATCATAAGCTAATCTAGCTATGAAGATAATCCTTTTAGAATATTAAGTAACAGAAACAAAAGATTTATTATTTAAGAACTATAAGCAAACCGCGATGCCAGGCTAGTTTAAAAATAATTTTAGTACTAAAATTAATACGTGTCCCTACTCCGTATCTACACACAGACAGTCGTCTTTTTAAAGTCAGGTCATATGAAATTTGGCACAATTCTTCGCTTCGCAATTGCTAATTCTAACACAAATATGTAATGCAGACAATGAATACAATTTTATATAGAGCATTAGATATTTCACATTGACTATTTTAGAACAAGGCAGCGATAGCTCAGTGGTAACACACTCGCTTGGAAACTGTGATTGCAATTTGACTTACGGTAAAGGAAAACATCGTAAGAAAATTCAGGTTTCTTCACGATGTTTTTCTGTTGTCGTTATTGTAGTGTATAAGTACATATCTATTAAATTATTAATAATTTATTGTTCATTAATATATGTATGTGTGTATATTTAATAGTATAATATCATCTGTTGTCTCGGGTCAGGCACTCAGCTGGCGGCGGAGTGGTGGGTCATTGGACAGCCAACCAGCGCGGAGTGAAGACTGAGTGCACACGGCGAGCCGATATATATATATATATATATATATATATATATATATATATATATATATTTGAATATTCCTATAATCTACTTACTAATAATAAGTATCATTTAGTGAATCATTAAGTGCACATTACTAGTTATCTAAGAGAACCATCGATCAAAGAAGTTCTAGACACACAAGATGCAACAAAAAATGTCCTCACCGAATAAGCGCTCATTTGAACATTAGAGCGCGCTTTTAAATTTTATTTTTTTGCAAACAAATTTGAGCATTGAATTTAAGGTTCATTTTACATTATTGTATATTTATTTCAAGTAGAATAATTACCTAAACACAATTGGTGACAGTTTTAAGAGAACTTTTGCATGGGATTGTGTATTTAGTACTTTTTGATTGATGAAGAAAACCTAAAAAGTTTTCAAAAATGTTAAGTCCGCCAACCAGCACTTGGCCAGCATGGTGGACTATGGCATGAGTCATGACCCCCTCATATTAATAAATAAAAATCACGTTTAACGCGTCTTCGACGTCACTTATACATTATAAACTAATAAGTTACTGTGTTGTGTGTCTGTCTGTTGTGCGTCTCTGACAATACCACGTGTATAGCGTATCGTATTTTACGCATATATTGTATATTTATGTAATACTGAACTAGTTTTTAGTAGTTTATAAAAATACCGGTATTTAGGTTAACTAGAATGTTGATATTTGGCAACAATAATAGTTTGAAGTAGACGCCCGTATGCCCATTACTACATTATCGGTATATAATATATCTATTGTTTATTAATCTATTTAATTGAAAACCCCAATAACTATGGACCTATATGTTTAAAATAAATAAATTGAGTTCTTATCATCTTTACTTCTCGCAAATAGTACTCATTTACTTAGTGGTGGCATTCAACGACGAATAACGACAAAATTTACGTTACCAATATTTTCTTCCTGATATTAAAATTATATACCATAGTGGGAATCAGATATACACCTTTGACACAGTGCATGTGCAAATCCTTTAAAAATGTAGATTAATCCTACCAATATTATAAATGCGAAAGTTTGTGAGTATGTACATATGCATGCCTGGAAGTATAGATGTATGGATGTTTGTTACTCTTTCACGTAAAATCTACTGAATGAATTTTTAAGAAAATTTATAATAACATAGTTGGTAGCTCTTACATCAGAATAACATATAGGCTACTTTTTATCACCAAAAAATGTATGGTTCCCGTGAGATAGATTTGTTTTTGTTTTTCTATAGCCAAACCCGAGCGATGCGAGGTCTTGAATATAGCAGAAAGACTAGCAATTCCAATATGCGAGGTTTAGCTAAAATCAGATAAGGATGTGATTCACTATAAGAGATATTAAATTATAATTAGATAATCCGTACTTTTAACTAAAAAAAGAAGTCTTTAAAATAACTTATTAAACCCTTAAAGTTATTTTTTCCCCAGTTTAAAACTACGCTTGAGAAAAAAAACCCGTTCATTAAAGACAGAATTATGGAAATCAATTCACAATTATTAGCGGAAACACAACAATATGTAGATTACGTCTTTATTGATATTGACAAAAACTAAAATATTTAAAAAACTTACTTGCATTCTAACTTTAAGCACATCAGTGGGATTGGCGATCGCGCTGGACAGTCCACCCGCGAAGGCCGCACAGAATGTGTTGGTGGCGAGGTGCTCCTTGCTGCCTCCATCAGCTCGCCGCGCTGCCAGGTACTTCTTCAGTGAGTAGTATGTGCCGAACTTTATCGTTCCGTATGTCGCCTGGCGGAGTACAGCTGGCCATATACTAGGGAAATCACATAAGTGTTATATATGCAAAAGTTTGAAAGGAAGTGAGTTTGTTACATCACGTTGTAACGACTTTGAAGAGTTTGAGAATAAAATAGAAATAGCTATATTCTCAATAAACTTGTTCAAATATAAGGTTATATTTAAAAGCCGGATGAATAAGTTAATCTTATTTTTTGTAATGGATGAAGAAATTAACATTTATAGATTAGAAGCCTAAATAAATGCATTAAAATATCCCTGAGTAAAAAGATTTGATTATAAACAACTTATAAACATGTTCTTAATAAGCAAGATAACATTATATGAACACTAGACAATGCCAATACATTGTTTATATTGCATTATAATTCCCGAGCATTCAAAACAACAATTATTTTATATCACAACAAAATGTTTAATTAAATTATGGCTTAATGACTCTTTATTACTTTAGTGATTATGATGTATGTATGCAAAGATTTTACATTGACGCAACAAGAGATAAACAATAAAAATTAACCACATCCACTTTTAATATTGTGAATGTAAACACTATTTATATAAAAAAATCGTATTTTCTGCATGAGTAGTCTAAGAACACAGTTTTCCTCATAAATAATCTCTCAAAGATAAAAGACAAACTAAAAATATCTTCAATTGTGAAAAACGATAAAATAAATGAAAAATTAAACAATTAATGATTACATATCAACTTAAAAGGTGCACCAACTTCATATACAACCTATTTATAAAAAAAAAATTGTTTGACAATTTTCTAAGATATTGCTAAGATATTTAGAAAAAAACACATAAAATAGAATAAGTATTCAAAAAAAGGATGTTGCTTAAGTCAAAGAGGGCTTAAACTGTCCAACCACAATGGAAAATATGAGTTATCTTTTATATTATAATTAAATTTAGTTCTTTGGTTTATTTTAAACAAGTTGCACCGCACTTCCAAGTAAAAAAAAAAAACATTTTAAATAATTAATGGAAGTTCTTGTCAAATGTCTTTTTAATTTTATAACGTTCGACTCATCTGAATCATATTATCAGTTCATTTGAATTCCTCTATAATCTATATCACTGAGTAGAAAATCTCCTCCTATACTTTGTTATAGTGTATTGAACATTAATATGAATGATCATAACATTAACTTAGAAGTTTACTGTAATTATTCTCTTTTTATGTGGATTACATGAAGGTTTAGTCATAAACTCTCTTTATTACAGATATTTTATTTTACTATTATAATCAGATAATAAGACACAATGTAGATAATAAGAATAAACTGTATTTATTAAACCTATTGGGGCTATTTGAACATTGCTTATTAAAGTGCTTCATATAAGTAGGTCTAAAATTTACAGGAGCAACCAAGAGAGTAATGCTAATCTTAAAATTTATTTTAATTTTTGGATACTAAGTAAATATTTATTCTAGGCAACTTACCCACAATAAAGAGCCTTGACACCTTCCTGCTGAGAAGTTTTCACAAAGCAATCAACCATGCCCGTGTATCGTAACTTCACATGTCGAGGGTCAATTTTCTGACCCTGAATCTGAAGCCTAGTCTTGGTGGTATCAATAGGGAAGGTACCTAAATAATAATTAATTTATGAGCTTTATTTAAAAGGATATTTTTTAAATAAGTAGGTATTTTTTTAATAATACATGTATAGAATCATAGAATATGAAAACTAGTTATCATTATGAATCACTATTATTTATTACGATTTACGAATATAAAATAATCAGAGGTTATAAAAAATATCTACCGAATTCGGCAACGATCGACGCTAGGCCGCCGTAAATAAACGGTCTCCAGTCTCTATCTCCCATCACATGCAAAATTAACTAGCACCAAATAGCCCAATATTTATAAATTCTAATGGAGCCGGTGATCGACTCTTATGTATATTTTATTCTTATGTATATCATATGTGACTATGACATAATTAAATATACCAGAGCCGAACTGAACAAAAACTTAAATAAATTGCAAAATATAAAAATATAAAAGAGACGTTTTCGAAACAATTTATTTTAAAATGATAAATTCACTCGCAGTCGCACTGCAAGTGCAAGATCTTTCAAGTTTAACCTGACATTGACAATTCTTCACTGTCAAAATTCAAAAAACTTTTTATGTTTAGTGATGCCAGATTACGATTTCGCATTCTCCCCAAATCTCAGATTTTAAAGAAAAAAAAGCCTCACAAAATGTTGAATATTTATTTATTAATTAAATAAAATTTTAAATAAAACTATGTTTTCGGATTATAACTCGGGCTTATTTTGATATTTGGTTCCCGACGTTTCAAATGCTTTACAGCGCACATGGTCACGGGAGAGACTAAGATTATAGACGTTTCAAACACATACTTGTTACAGATAGTGCCTACCCACTATTTTACAAAAATGATTTAAAATATTCAAAAATGGCACCACCAAAGTACCTTATAATATTTGTTGATTTTTATTAAAAAAATAATATTATTATAATTAAATATAGCAAGATTATTTATTTAATTTTAGCTGCTATTAGTATAAATATTTCAATTATTTTTTTACTTTAATAATAACTAATATTATTTAGTGTTGCTATTATTATATTATGTATAATCATAAAGAATATTAAAAACTTAAAAAATATTAATTATTTATTTAAACAATATAATTGTTTTATATGTATTTAAAAGAAAGTAAAATATTAATTTAGATTGCTATTTTTAAGAGTTAAAATACTAAGCAACACTATTGGAACCTTTATATACAAAAAATATTAATCAGAATTACTGTTATTATTGCGATCCTCACAGTATTCAAACTAATTACATCTACGTCTGTTAAATTTGTTTCTGTTGTTAGATTTTATTATGTTTATTACAGGATCCTAAGATGATGGTAGTACCCAGCCATCTCATCATCCACTGAGGTGATATGCGACCTCCGTGCCATGTATACGATCTCCGTAGTGTTGTTAAAACCAAACGTGTCAACTGTCATACTTTGTTATTTATTAATATTAATTTAGTCATTACATTTGTCTAGTGGAATTCTTTCAGTTAAATAAAACCAATATTCCTCTTGGTTTCTCGTTTATTATGCCACAATTTATTTAACTGAAAATGCCTGATGAAAAACTAGGCATGCCTTCGCTGTCGAGATATCTGCGACCCGATAAGTTTGACATCGAGCCTGATGTCGCGGACGCCGATGAAAAATGGGTACACTGGAAATCGACATTTGAAAGCTTCTAAGCAGAAAAGATTACCGACGATGTACCAGACTCCCTTAAGCGTAAGCTGCTAGCATGAACGAATTAACCACTGGACCAGACATATAAGCGGACGTACCTTTAACGGTCATGTCAGTAACCAGGGAATTTTAGCCTAGGTCGTTTGTTTTTTGTGTCAGTCTCAAGCACTTACTTGTCAACAAAACATCTCCCAAAAATGACTAAATGTTCTGTTAATTGGTGTAAAAACTATAACGGCGGAAGCAGCACTATTTCTTTTCACTTGTAAATACATTATTTTATTACATTTATTGTTATTTATCACAAAATTTAATTAAATGTAAAATAAAATGTCATATTATCCAACTATGTTAAATATAGTCGATATTTCTATGTATTGTTGACATCTGACAACCATCATAAGCGGGCTGGATTATACCATTCAGAACAAATGACAAAACTGTCGAGTAAGTCCATTTGACATCGACTAGTGCTTGACAATGTCGAAAAATATATCGATATTTGACGAAATAACTGAACGAATTGTGTTATTTGTACAGTACAATAACATAAAATACTTTTACCACAGTGTCCCACAATCTGATGACAATAAATTTATAAAAATATTTTCTAAATCAAATAAAAATATAAATGCAAAAATTATAATTAGTATGAGTACTTAATTTTTTATTTTATACCACATTTATATACTTTGGAATATTATTCCATTGTAATAATAATAAAGATCATTTTATTTCAACACATAAATTACACAAAATCAAACAATAATGTTTTAGCACTAAACTTCTGGGTTGGCGATTTGTAATAAAACACTTTACCACTTGCATTAATTATTTTACTTTCACGATCCAACACTCACTTTTTCACAATTTGCAATCACTTTTTCTTGTTCCTAATTTCACAAATGTTTATTAAGAACTGAGCAATATTAGGACAGTGTCACATTTTTATAACTACCCGAGACAATCAATTGCCAATTAAAATAGTTCAATAACAGAATCAACAAAATCACTTTATTTAATTAAATTAGCTTCATATTTTTTTTATCTTTACAAAATAATATTTATTATATATTAATGGAATATACACCCGATATTCATTTGTTTATTAACATTATTATAGGCCAACAGAATGTTGCCATCAATGCCATCGTATTTATATAAATCAAATTAAAAAATAATTATTATTTGACACATTATTATTGCCTCTTTAATTCATTTATTTTAATTTATTATAATAAATACAGATATTTTAAATTAAAACATGTAAAATATGATGACTATGCTAACCAATGTCTAAAATGTCATTCATTGGTTCATCGATATATGTATTTTATCGATTACGTTCAAGCACTAGAAATATTGTATTGTGTATCAGTGTTTATAATAATGTAATAAAATCTTTGTGTGCGTTATGCGTCACTTGGTTGAACTAGTTTTCATACATTTGTATTTTATGTCAGGTCCAGTCTCTAATTCGTCCATGGCTGCTAGTTAATCACTTATCGGCATCGATTTACAAGCATATCAAAACATGCTCCACTTATAAAGATTCGATGAAAGTTCTAGAAGATATCTATGTCAAACCGAAAAATACTATTCTAGCTCGACACATTCTCTTCAATCGCAAGCAACGAGCCGACGAAACGATCTCTGACTATATTAGAGCTCTCCGACTTTCCGCGAAAGATTGTAAATTCGAAGACGTCATAGCTCAAGAGCATGAAGACCAAGCAATTCGTAGTGCTCTCATATCCGGCTTACTATCACGAAGGATTCGCGAACGGTTACTAGAAAACTCAAAACTCACTCTCTCAGAAGCACTTAATCAAGCCGTAGCATTGGAAACGGCAGAGAAGGATGCAGTTGCTATTGGTATCAGTTCTACGCAACTTACCGCCATATCGCAAGGTACTTCACGGGACAAGGAATCCGAAAACCTAGCGGCAGCTCCATCGTCACGAACTTTTCAAGCCGCCCCGACCACGCCACCTCCGGCTAAACCCTGCTTCTCTTGCGGCGGGAGTCTTCATCCAAGGTTCAGATGTCCAGCCAACAAAGCCACCTGCAAAAAGTGCTCAAAGAAAGGACACTTTGCAAGCGTCTGTAGATCGGGCAATATTAACTTGAACTCCACGACAGTTGAAGATCCTAGGACCTCTAACAACAACCAGTTCTACAGTGGAGCTATTTCTGCTGCCTCTCCTTTGAGCCTTAGGAGTGCGACAATTCCAATCATGGTCAACGAATACAAGGCTGATGCACTCGTCGATACAGGAAGTTCAGTCAGCTTTATTAACGCTAGTGTTGCTCGCATAATGAAACTACGCAAAAAACCCTGCAAGCAGACAGTCAATCTCGCTTCTCTCAATCAAGTTTCCTTTGCCGAAGGCGTCTGCTTTGCTACCATTACGATGAATAAGCATACTTACAAACAAACGCCTCTTCTAGTTGTCGACAACCTCTGTGCTGACGTCATCGTCGGCCATGACTTGCTCAAACATCACTCGAGCATTCATTTTAATCTTGGTGGGCCTGGCGAACCTTTAGAGATATGCAACGTGTTACGAGCTTCGGTGCCGCCAGCCTCCGTATTTACAAATCTGTCGCCGAACATTCGACCGATCGCCGTGAGAAGCCGGCGCTACAGTAAGGAAGATGAGGCCTTCGTAAAAGAAGAAGTGTCTAAATTACTTGAAGACGGGGTCATTGAAACAAGTATTTCCCCCTGGAGAGCCCAAGTCCTCGTAGCGGGAGGAGGGCTTCATCGAAAACGACTTGTCATTGATTACTCCATGACCATAAACAAATTCACCGATCTGGATGCCTTCCCCTTGCCAAACATAGAATCAGTCGTGAACAAAGTATCAAAGTTCAAAGTGTTCAGTCAAATCGACTTAAATAGCGCATACCATCAAATACCCATCTTAGAAAATGAAAAGATATATACTGCTTTCGAAGCATGCGGCAAATTGTACCAGTTTACACGCATTCCATTTGGCGTGACTAATGGCGTTGCGGCTTTTCAACGTACTCTGGACTTCATCATAACAGAAGAGAGACTAGAAGGAACGTTCGCCTACTTAGACGATGTAACCGTCTGCGGCAAAGATCAAAGGGATCATGACCACAATTTAAAACGCTTTATGGACGCCGCTAATAAATATCATTTAACTATAAACGAACGGAAGAGTGTTTTCAATAAGACTAAAATCAATTTGCTTGGATATACTGTTGAAAATAATACAATCAGTCCTGACCCGGAAAGACTAAAACCTCTTCTAGAGCTTCCCGCTCCAACTAAAACTAGTGAACTAAAACGAGTCCTAGGGATGCTTGCTCATTACGCTAAATGGATTGCGCGTTTCTCAGAAAAAATAAAGCCACTTACATGCGTGACTACTTTCCCGTTGACACCTGAAGCGCTCAAGTGTTTTGAAGAACTCAAGCAAGATATCAAGGCAGCCGCTCTAGTAGCCATTAATGATAATGAAATGTTTACAGTCGAAACAGACGCTTCGGAATTCGCGTTAGGGGCTACTCTGACTCAACATGGAAGACCAGTTGCCTTTTTCTCGCGGACATTAAATAACTCGGAATGCAAACAATCCTCAATCGAAAAAGAGGCTTGTGCGATAGTAGAGAGCCTAAAGAAATGGAGACACTACCTGATCGGCAGACATTTTCTTCTTATAACTGACCAACAATCGGTTGCCTTCATGTTCAATCAAAATCATAACAGTAAAATAAAAAATGAGAGGATCCAACGTTGGCGATTAGAACTATCTTGCTTCAAATACGATATAGTTTATAGACCAGGCACTGAAAACGCTGCTGCGGACGCTCTATCTCGCGTATGCGCTTACATGAATATAAACAAGTTGAAAGAACTACATAACGCACTCTGCCACCCGGGAGTAACTAGAATGTATCACTGGGTAAGATCTAAAAACTTGCCTTACTCGGCTAATGATGTGAAGGAGATGACCGCCTCGTGCCCTACCTGCGCCGAAATAAAACCGAGGTTTCTAAAGGTCAAGGGTCAATTGATAAAAGCTACGTCGCCGTTTGAACGGATCAACATAGATTTTAAAGGACCACTACCTTCTAAAACAGCCAACAAGTATATACTTACAATTATTGATGAGTACAGTCGGTTTCCTTTTGCTTACCCATGTAAGGATATGACCTCAGCCACCGTCATTACTTGCCTGAAAGATCTTTTTCTCACATTTGGCCAACCTCTCTACATTCATAGTGATAGAGGGTCGTCGTTCATGTCCGAAGAGTTCAAATCATTTCTACGACAGTCAAATATAGCCTCGTCCAGAACGACGCCCTATAACCCCCAGGGTAATGGCCAAGTGGAGCGACTAAACGGAACGCTCTGGCGAACTATTCAACTCAGCCTTCGGTCAAAGGGATTATCGGTGGAAAATTGGGAAGTGGTTCTGAAGGACGCATTGCATTGTGTCCGCTCCCTCCTGTGTACGGCAACAAACGCTACTCCGCACGAAAAACTTTTCACATACCCGAGAAGATCCCCGAACGGAGATTCACTGCCATCTTGGCTCACGCCGGGACCGATCTTAGTTAAGAAGAACGTCCGTTCTTCAAACACGGACCCTCTTGTCGAGGAAGCCGAGCTCTTAGAGACCAATCCCTACTACTCTCTCATAAGACGGGATAATGGAGAAACCTCAACGGTATCAAACCGTCAATTAGCTCCTTTCCCCAGTATCGCTGATAATAGCAGCGACGATAACTTTGAAACGGCCTCCGAAGATGATAATCTCAGGTTTCCATCTGAAAATAACTCCACACCTCCACCTGAAAATATCGTTCCTTCGTCACCGCCTCGTGTAGGAGAGCCGTCGACGACTTCGCCAGTTCTTCGGACTGGACTCCCCAGGAGATCTAATAGGACGCGAAAATTACCCTCCTACCTAGCGGACTTTGTGGTTGATGGGAGTGAGAGTGAAAACTGAACCGGGGGAGAATGAGGTGATATGCGGCCTCCGCGCCATGTACCCTAACCTATACGATCTCCGTAGTGTTGTTAAAACCAAACGTGTCAACTGTCATACTTTGTTATTTATTAATATTAATTTAGTCATTACATTTGTCTAGTGGAATTCTTTCAGTTAAATAAAACCAATATTCCTCTTGGTTTCTCGTTTATTATGCCACATCCACCTATCCACCTAACCTCAAACTATATAGGTATATATTTTTATTTGTCATCCATGGTATATATAAAAAGAAAACGATAACTTCGCATATTTGTTTCACTTTTTAATTGTCATCCATGCTTTGAGCCTTGAGGGTTCAACTTTTACCGTTTCCAGTTTCACTACATGTCATCTGACGTACAGTTGGTATTGAATTGTCATCCATTGATTGAAGTGCCAAGTAATTTGTAAATGGCTTCGAGCAATAACAAGCATGGAGGACTCGTATTAAAATGAACCAATAAACTTATAATTATTACTTCTTTATCTTACTAAGAGATGATATAAGTTAGAGAGAGACTAAAAATTAAGAAACTATCGTCTTTAACGATGTAAAGCCACTTTTTAGTTGTGATGGTGACCAGCTGGTGACCTACTGTATTTTTGATATTTGAATATTTTAATGATAAAAGAGTAATTGGATGTAACAGACTTTGTTTTAAGGAACTTGTGTGGCTTACGGCTGTAAAAACCATTGTTCAAGGAAAAGAGAAGATAATTAAAATGTAACATTTCACCGGTAAGTGTTGTTTGGATTTTTCCTTTAAAATGGTGCCTTTGCATCAAATAATATATATTACCTTGTAATTTTATCAACTTGTAAATATTAACTTTTTTGCTGTGTTATATTTTTGAATAAAGAATAAACAAGATTAGACAATGAATGAGTTTCATTTATTTCTGTTATTTTAATTAGAAAAGAGTATACTAACACACATATTAAAACATTTCTATACATTTAGAAGACAATAATAATTAATCAGATATGTCTTTACAAGTATACTTAACATTCGCTATAATTCATAAACAAAAGTATACGATAAATTATAATAAATCCCTAATATATTATCAATAAATACAATTCAAATAAAATAAAAATGATTCATAATAAGTCAAGATCTGTTAGCCAAAATAATTAATTTAAATAATGTTTAAAAAATTATTATTACCTTAAAGTCTAATAAATTTAATTTAATTAAATAACAAGTTGTACAGTGCCGGGATGCAAAGAAAATGGATATCATTTGTTTCGAAAATACAAAAGCTAAAGAAGTTGTGGGCTAAAGCAATAAGACGACCAAAAATGGCGAAAATATTTTATTATTTGTGCTTTTTTAGATATTAATTACAGAATTTAATATAAATTTTCATCCCTCATTTTACCCCCTTATGAATGTAAATAGATCATACGTGTTGCGCTCTCCTTGCAAGTAATCTTCCTCATTAATATATACATACGTAATGTAATATAAACCACATTATAAGTCTGTGTAAAAAATTAAAAAAAAAACATTGTCATGTCTAAGTCAATTTGTTTTTGACTTTTGTCAGCACAACAGTCAACATCTTTCGTAAAGTAAAGAAATTAAATTTAAGTGCCATATAACATATTACTTTTAATGAAGCGTGAATATTGTAGGCATATTTAAGTATAAGAACAAATCAGGAAAACTTATTTGCAATATAATTTTATTAACTTAAAGGTAGAGTTTTTCCATTCTCTAACTCTGAACTTGTAAGAATTATGAGCGATTTGTTTTAAAATGAACTAACAATTAACAGTTTTATAGGATGTAATTATATAATTAATAATTATTTTTTTAAAACAATGTCTTAGTTTATAAAATGTAGATGTAAATGAAGTTCATGATTTAACGTTTTCTCACGATTTTAAATAATTATGTGATTTGCAGGTCAAAACTTTTCTATAACAGCAAAATGTTTGACCACTTTGCTCAAGGGCCGACACCCTCGAATGAACCCCCACCTCCACGTAAGGTGCTGAGATTTGATAAGAGCTACTTAAAAACTATGCCAGGAATACTGAAACTTGTAGAAATTGTATGTAGTTTTTTTTATATTTAGTTATTGTATTAAGAAATTTTCAAAGTATGGGTGTCAATAAGATAGAATGAAGAATTTTGGTTTTTATTTGTGTATATATTAACTAAGGGTAATTGTATTTAAGATAAAAACCAAATAAAGTCAAATACTTTATTATATACTAGCGACTCACCCTCACTCTGCTGGGGTTCATTCCTACTTACGTTTTTATGTTTAGTATAGATTTCTCAGAAATGAGATATTTTCCTGCAATAAACAGTATCCTATATGTTGACCCGTATGTATAACCTATCTATCTATATATATAGCTATCATCATAGCAAATTTCATTAAAATAAGGTAATTAATCAAAATACAGCTTACATATACATACATATGCCCATTGCCCATCATATGAGCGCACTAGACCAACACTTTTATATTGATATATATTATTGTTTACATTATACTATGTCTTATATGTAAAAGACAAAGTGTTAGAAAATTGTGCTGATCTAAAAAAAAATATAAAAAGTAAAGTTGAATTTAGTTTAAAGCATTTTCTACACATTTTTTAATTAATTGTCTAAATAATTAATTTTCAGATTTGTAATATAGTTGGATTTATTTGCATAAAAATATCTTGGGCATGGCTCTCGGCAATCTTCTACAATATATTATACTGGGTGGGGAACATTATAACAGCATTTCTTCTGCTCATGTACACCTTCCACTTTGTTGAAAAATATGATAGATGGCCATGGCACAAGTATGAGTTCTTTTACTGTGGAGTCATGTCGCTAGCATACATTGTAACTTCTATATTTGCTACCACAATTGGCGAAAGCACGGGTTATGCTGTTGGGGTAAGTTTTATATGGAAATAATACATAAAGGTGCCTTAAAATGTCCCAATTCATATTTTAATGACAATTCTGGTAGATACTCATTTTTTTTCCTTTTTTTTTTAGTTTTTTGGACTTTGTGCAATTATAGCATATGGATTAGACTGCTATTTAAAGTATAAGGAGTGGAAGAGAGGATTACCACCACAATAATGGTAACACAAGACTTCTTGTAAGCGTTTTATGCTAAGTATTTACTAATTTAAGATCCTTTAGAAACTATTTTATTAAGAGATAGAAAAACATACCTATATAAAAATATTTTTTTAATCAAAGCTATACATTAATCTTACATCAGTTCTATTAAAAATTATATAATACTAGCGGACCCGACAGACGTTGTCCTGTCTACACGTCTTTAATTTGAAAATTTCAAACTTTTTTTAATAAGCTAAAACATTCTGGACCATTTTGATGAAAATTATTATTCAAATTGTAAATCTAAACCATTCCCAGATCCCCTTGAACACACACAAAAAATTTCATCAAAATCGGTCCAGTCGTTTGAGAGAAGTTCAGTGACATACACACTCACAGAAGAATTATATATATAAAGATAGATGAAATCTGTAACAAAAATATAATATTCAGATTGTAAAGAGGATCTTTTAAACAAATGCCACCTTTTCAACCGACTTCAAAAAGGAGGAGGTTCTCAATTCGACTGTATGTTTTTTTTTTATTTTATTTTATTTTTTTATGTTTGTTACCTCAGAACTCCGTCATTTATTAACCGATTTGGACAATTTTTGTGTCGTTTGAAAGGGTATACTTCCAGATTGGTCCCATTTAAATTTCAAAAAAAAATACCACCCCTAAGGGTGGAAAAACAACGAATGATGAATTTAACCTACTTCTAATTGTCATATTGACTTGAAACTTTGCAAGTATTTCTATTTCCGTTGATAGTACATAGTTCGGTGTTGTTGACCTGATCTGATGGCAAGGCCAGAAGGTGGATGGTGAAACTCTTCAACGGCTAACAGTAGATACTTTGAGTTTGGGCTTATTTTGTTTGATTTGACAAGCCTAACACGTTAGAATCCTTACTTTTCTACTACTGTCTACACTAAAAAGGGAAAAATAAAAACTTTAACAAAAAAATAAAAACCGACTTCAAACAAAAGCACTAAAAAGTAATAAATAACTGATTGGTAGTTTTCATTTACTATACATACCTAATCAAATATTTTCGAAGTCGGTGTGCTTTGGCTAAGTAATTAAAGCCTACCTATTAAATACATACCTAATCCAATATTTTCGAAATCGGTGCCAGCCCATACAAAGCAAAGCACATTGACTTCGAAAATATTTGATTAGGTATGTATAGTAAATGAAAACTACCAATCAGTTATTTATTACTTTTTAGTGCTTTTGTTTGAAGTCGGTTTTTATTTTTTTGTTAAAAAGTTTTTATGTATTATAAAAGGCTTAATGTACCTATTTAATTTTAGGGTTTTTGACTTGCATTATTTTTTATTATAATTATGGTTGTGTACTCAATGCACAATTTATATGTAACTTGTATATATATATATATATATATTGTAACTAGTTTTAGTACTTAAGTACCTGGGCGACCGAGCTTTGCTCGGAGTTTTTGGCAAACAAAAAAACAAACTAAAATTAAAAAAAACAAACTAAGAATTTGAATAAATACAAAAAAAAAACGAAATTAAAAACTTTGTGTCCGACCGGGATACGAACCCAGACACCTGTGGTTGTCAAACTTGTGCATTGGCCGCTTGACCATGATGCTTATATCTGAGCGTGCGAAATTATCGAACATAATATTTTGCGTGGAATTATTAATTTATTAAAATAATGCAAAAGAAATCATAATAATAATAAAGCTCTATTTATTTATTCATTTATTTATTATAAAGGCTTACTAACTAAATTTACATAAAAACATTTATATATCATTATAATTTTACCTATTTATATATAAATTTAATTTAAAAGTATGCACAGCTTTTTATAAAAGTATTCCATTCAAATTTTATTTGGTTAAGAGTATATAAGGAGCCATTTTAGTTGTACAATAAAAAAATGTCTATATCACATTGCTGAAATATAAAATTATATAATTTAGTGACTATTTATTAACTTATAATTTTTTAAATAATAATTTTGTAATCTGGAATTAAATTACATATTTTAAAAATCTTCATATTATTTGAAATGATATTGTATATATATAAATTATCATTAACAAATAAATAAATAAACAATCACAATAAATTAAATAATTCAATTGAGTAAATACTAAACATTTCACATATAAATAAAATTTCTTTCCATACATTAATTCTGACAATAGTTATAAATTAGGTATTTAACTTCATAATTAAATGTATTTATTTAGTAAATGTCTTTTTCATGTATAGACCCCTCTCGGTTAAAAGCCTCCTCCAAAGTAGTCCTGCATAGAGCTCTCCGTTGGAGATTATGCTTGTATGATTGCAAAGGGTTTCTTTTCAAATTTTGTTTTCAATATATAATTTGTTTCTGATATGCCTATAAAGTTTATAATTTTATCTTTGTGTTCTTTTGATTTGTTGTAGGAAATGCTGCTTTAAATTCTAGAAGTTTTTCTGGTGAAGATATGTATACCTTTGTTCATTGTATGTCTGTTTTTCTTTGGAGGGTTACGGTCGAACTCCCCCACAGTGACCGGCCATACTGGTGGATAAAGATGAGGAGGTTCCTACGGTGTTTAATATACTGTATCTTGCTGTGTTGTTTTTAGTTGTTCCTGGTTATCATTTGTGTGGTTGAAAGTTAACTTTGGTTTTTGTAATATTAAGTCTTTAATATTACCAGGTATGGTTTTCTTTGTATGTTGTTTATTTTTTAGTTTTTGTTTATAATTGAGGTAAGGCGTTTCTGGAGATACAGGCAGACTTCTTTTTTATTTCCGTTTAGTTTAAGACTATTTTTTCCTCTAGTTCATGATAGGAGTTCATGAAAGTTCTTGCGCCTAATATGTCTTTCTAAATTATTTATTGAGGTACTTTGTTCCTGGATTTTTTTCTCAAGAACTTCAATTTTTATTTCTAACTGTTTAAATTTCTTATTTAAGTATATTATTGTTGATTGTATTTTTAATGTCTTCTTTCATTTCTAACATTTCTGTTTTCTGCTGTCTTATTTCTTGTTGCATGTTTATTAGCAACTTTTTTATGTCCTCCATCTTATGTGTGAAGTTGGAAGTAGAAAAGCTGATTGAAAAAAGCACCAATTATACCAAGTTGAATTGCAATTTTATACCGAGTATTAGTTTTTGAGGTTATAAACTTATGTTTTAATATTTGACGCTTTCACTTCACAAATTATTTTGTTTTATTGTCATCACACACAGAAAAGATGGTTTTGCACTAATAGTATCTTTAAGTTATGTTTGTCACTTTTATATTTGTTTGGTAGGTGAATTTTTAAAAGCTCATTTGTTCTTCAACACATCAAGACTTGGTGATGTTTACATATTGCCCATAGGTTTTATTTAAAAATTTATTTTTATTATTTAAATTTATATTTATTCTTTAGATTATTTTTACTTAAATATATTTAAACTTGATGTAAATACGGACACGACGTTGACAGTTGCACAGTGGCGCCGCCCACTTACCAGAAGTGACAATGCAAAAATTGTGAAAATGCAAAATAAAATCGCATGAAAATTCGAAAATTAGCGTTTTTCCAGATATAAGACTAATCTAGATCGATTTATCGCCCCCGAAACCCCTTGCTAGCTAAATTTCATGAAAATCGTTGGAGCCGTTTCCGAGATTCAGATTATATATTGATATATATATATATATACAAGAATAGCTCGTTTAAATATATAAGATATCTGCTACCAAAACATCGATCAAAAAAGCACTAGATACACAATCTATCAAAAGTTCTCTTAAAACTGTCACCAATTGTGTTTAGGTAATTATTCTAGTTGAAATAAGAATACAATAATGTAAATTGAACCTTAAATGCAATGCTAAGAGTGTTTTTTACAACAAATTTTTTTTAAAGTGCATTCAAATGTTCTAATGAGCGCTCATTCAGTGAGGACATTTTTAGTCGCTGATTGTGTATCTAGTACTTTTTGATTGATGTACCAAAATATCTTAAAGGCATAACATATTTTTTCCTGAAGATAATATCTTACACATAACGGAAAGTACTAATCTATGCATTATAAAACTCTTGACCTGACTGATTCATAATCATCCCATTGGACCCACCACTGGACATATGGGTTGAAATTTTCATGTATATCCTTATCAAATTTCAAAATACCTTTTTAGCAGCTACCTATGTCTGGTAACTACTAAAAAGGATTTTAAAAATTCATGCCCTAAAATGGTCTTAAAATTTTATATAAAAAACAATATTTTTAATATGTAAGTTGTAAGAACTGCTAATATTGTATAGAAAATCAATGCGATTCAAATGAGTATTTGATAATAATTTTATATGTATAAGTAGTTATGATAAGAGAACTTTAAAATTGTGCCTTTTACAGACTGAAATCAAATTTCATATTTTATATATTATAGACATTTGTAATGTAAGCATTTGTTTGTTGATTTATAGTACGGATATAATTATAGTGATATCAGCTACTTTTATAGCATACTAGCATTGCACGCGGCTCTGCCCGCGTTCAGATGACCAAAAATGCAAATTCTTAGGTTTTACATATTAGTATCTCTATACTCTTACAATGCAGTTTTTGTATTTTTTATCAGAAATGAGATATTTTCCCGCGGTAAAAAGTATCCTATATGTTGACCCGGATAACCAGCTATCACCATACCAAATTTCAGCAAAATCCCTCCAGTAGTCTTTCTGTGATACGGTAACAGACAGACAGACAGACAAAAAATTCTCAAAACTATAGATTCGGCCTTTGTATCGTTAATAATGTCTATTTCAATAAGATTTTCCAAAAAATATTTAATGTACAGATTCGGCTTAGTTACAATTTTATTATATGTCTATATGAACTAATTTATGTCTTACTTCAGATTAAGAAGATTCCTTTTCGTTTGAACGATTTAATCGGGTCAATAACATTGTGTCTGCATTTCAGGAGAATTTCACTTGAGGGAAATCCCAGCATATCTTTTTAAGTTACCTATTGATAATAGCGGTGATTAGACTTCCCTAGTATGTTCTGAAGTAGCGATTGCTATTTACAATACTATTGGTATAAGGTATTGATATATGCTTTGATTTAAGGATAAATCTTAAAATCTGTCTGATTTAGGCTAATGTCAATGTCACTGAGTCTAGCCAACTGCATACGAGATATTACAGTGTATAAGTATGTGCGCTAACACTGCACTCTGACACAGTCTCTCTCCCTTCACCTTACACTCCTGTTGGACGATAACTCGATATTCGAGATAAGAAATTAGGGGCGGGACAGGCGATTTTAGTTGCTTTGTAAGGTACGGAGATGCAAACCCGCCGACTTTCCAAGTTTGGGCTGTTACCCAATAACTGTACTTAGCCTGACTCAGGACTTGAACCCGGGACCAACGTACCTACGAGTATATGCTAGTCAGTGACTAGTAGGCACTAGACCAACGATTTAGTCAGTATAAACTATCTATAACACATTAAATAGTAAATAAATTGATCGGTTGAAAATAGATTTCAGATTTGGTTGTCTCTGCTATCTACACTCCGCCAATATCATAACTAAAATATAAGATATAGTGATGTATACTTATCTTTTATAACATATGTATTAAGTTTGATAAATCTGTATATTGTTTGGTCATACATAATGCATCAGTATGTAGTATAATAATGCCCAAAGTATTTACTAATAGGTATTACTTAGCTAGAGCTTAGATTTTGTATTTTTTTAATTAAAACACTTTCATGGAAGTTTCATATAAAGGTTTTTAAATTAGAAAACAACAGCAATAACTATAAACAGAATATTATTTACAGTCAGAAAAAAGTGTTTAGGATCTTTTTACAGTCTATTATTTAAATAGTTATGAATAACGATTATGTATCGATTTTAATGTATTTTTACTCGATTTTTTTATGTTTAAAATAATATTTTTGTTAATGCTTTGTTTAAAATCTTTTCTGAAACACTTTTTTTAGGGTTTAAGTACATATTTTATAAGTACTACCTTTAAGTAACTTGTGCCTTTTCTGTCATGTTAAACATTTCTTATGAGATATACCATCTTTAGATTAAAATGTTATTTTTTTTATAATTATTAGAAACTGAGCCAAAGGCATTTGGTTCGAAACACGCTTATGGTGAACTTGTTGACGATAATTTCTTGTTTGTCACATTCAGAACGAGACGAATCCTTATTGAAAAACTCTAATAGTATCTTTTTTTGCGGTTTTGAATATTTATTTCTATTATCTTCACTAAAGAAAGTAAGGCCAAGCATGTACTTAAATATCGAAAATCGATTATAACCTAGTTCTGATTATTGTATCAATTCGAAGCTTGTATGTAAAATTTGAATTTCGATGCGGCCAGATGATGAATAGTGGACCAGTCTTAATTCATTACCGTCAAATGCGTATTTTTTTTTAATAATTATTATTTATGCAGTTTTGTCGTTTAGTTCGCGTTAGTTTCAGCTAGAGGCGCTTCTAAAAGATTGTATGGGAAATAACTATGGTTTCTTCATAGGTACTTCCCAAATATTATCCCATAACATATGGTTGGTCATCTTGGGAAATTTTAACTAAGGGCCATGTTATAGAATTGAGCAGTAAAATTTGTATCGACCACTTTAAAGTACTTATTGTAAAACTAAGTTAAATACTGAGTATTGTAAAAAAATTTTTCAAAACAATATAAACTTATTTATTTTGTTAACATTGTTCATTTGAAATAAAACACAAAGCACATTTTATCGTTTTATTCCGTGGTACAATAAATAACCATAATTATAAAACTTCTAAAGTATGTGTATTTCAACTTTAAAATTACAAAAATCTTCGAAATTTTTATAATGAGATACAATATTCAGTAGAAAAATGATTGTACTTTAAAGTTAATATTATTGCACATGGTAACATTTGCTAACTTCGATTACTTCTATGTGACAAAAAAGTGAATATTTTAATTATATTAAAACCAGTGGTAAATTATTTTTCAAATGAAGAACAGGGTAAAGAAATAGAATATCTACACTTGAGTCCACACTTTACTAGTAACATATATTAACAAAGGAACAAACAAAAAATACGACGGAATTGAGAAACTCCTCTTTTCGAAGTCGGTTAACAAGTTACCAAGTTTAGAGCATTGCCATAATAATGAATAATGTACATAATTTCACATCTATTATTATAATTAATTAATTAGGTATAATAAAACAAAAGTGATCGTAAAAGTGTTGAACAAAAATAATTCGAATTAATTTTAATTAACAGACTAAAAAACATCTGCATACATTGACTTTAGTAACATTAAGAATTTTTAATCAAATACAGAATACAAGTAGCATATAATTTACACAACAATAATACATAGTTATATCTTAATATAAGTTAACTTATTTTTAGACAATATCAAAAATTCATATAAGTTTGACACAAGCGTGAGCGAGTGGAGCGGACGGACACACTATACTAATATTAAATAACAGGTGAGTTAAATTGATTTTAATATACTTTTATAATGGTAAGGCAATAAGATATATACAGACAGAAATAGATATATTTTTATAACATTCAACATGTCTAGACAGAATTAACCTGCCACCACATTTTGTATTTAAATATAAAAATATCTAAACAGTAATAATATGGTACTATATACCATATACATTACACAAGTATTTAAATATACTGTACATTAAATATCAATTTGAAATATGATTCATGCTTTAACAATTAAGGATATTGGCACTGAATTAAATAATTACTATATAGTTAATAGTAATATACATATATATTAATAGATAAAGTTTTATAAACTCAACATGAAATGCATAATATAAACTCTTAATATAACAGTATTTGGGCGACTAAGCTTCGCTAGTCGTCTTGTCAAAAACTTGTTTTCGGAAAAGATATTTGAAACACCCCCGACCACGTTAGACCGATTTCAAACATAGCTAAGAACACTCCCGACTAATTCACATTTCAAACAAAAAAAAAACAATATCAAAATCGGTTCTTGCGTTCGGGAGCTACGATGCCATAGACAGACACACAGACACGTCAAACATATAACACCCCGTCGTTTCTCGGGAATTATAAATGCGTTTTTTCAGAAAATATACCTATATAGACAAATTGAAAAAAAAACCTTATCTAAATACAAAATTTGGTCCAAATCGTTAGAGCCGCTACTGGAATACATAAAATTGAAATTATATTACAATAATTATATATACAAGAATGATTCATTTAATATTATAAAATATACTCTTAATAATACATATTTAATATGACATAAGCGTAGTGGAGTAAAATGCCGTGCAATTTAGAAATAAGTAGTCTTAGAAAGTAAAAAAGTATAAGTACGCGGCGGAATAGAAGTGCATCACTGTTGTTAACTTGGCAACTGCAATAACTATTATAAATGCAAAAATAATATTTAATATGTTTTCAGGGTTCCGTGCCCGAAGGGTGCCAATGGAACCCTATTACTAAGCTTCTGCTGTTGTGTCCGTCCGTCAGTCTGTCAGCGGGCTGTACCTCATGAACCATAATACGTAGAGTAGATATTAGTGTATTATATTATATTATTATATTGCTTCTATAACAACAAATAACAAAAAAAAACCAAGATGGCGAGTTTCAAAATGGGCGCCATGTAAATATATATCTTGTACGATGATACCAGACCCTTAGTGTACGAGTCCGACTTGCATTTGATTTATTTATATTTATTTTTAAAGTTATTAGTTTAACAATTCAGATGTAGAAATAACGTGCATTAAGTGAGAATAGGTGGGTTATAAATATCTTAAATTTACTTACGATCTAGGCGGTATTATTTGCATTATTCTGATCGCGTTTAAGTGTTGCCATAGACATTTATATTTTAATTTTAACATCTTCAATTTTATATATTTTATACACAAATCTCAAAACACGATCTTAAAATATTAAAAAAATAAATATAAAAAAATGCTACATGGCAACTTTTTAGTTTTAAAAGTCGTATAATCTATAGAAACTGAGAAAATATTTAATAATAATTAATAGTATAAGTGCGTTACGTTACATTTTGTATGTTTGAACAGTAAAACAAATAATAAATTAATGCTTACAAACGCGCCTACAAGACTAGAAAAAAACTTAACAAAATAGACGATTTACAATTTTATAATAATTATAACTTAAGTCTAGAATTAAAAAATAAAGAAGTTCAAAATATTTTTTTTCACTTACAACACTGTTAAATATTTTAAATCCATCTTATGGTAATAAAATATTAAAATAATAATAATATCAAATCGATAATACCTTAAGAAATAAGATATTACATTTTGTCAAGTACATACATAGGTACTATTAATTAATGTGTTTATTTTTATTTCAGAACATTATTTAATAAACTATTGGTTTTTACTAAAATATGCTCAATTAAATATGTGTAAAGTGAACTCACAATCTAATATTCTTTTAATGATTTTCAAATTTATTGGTCATGTTATCAACAATTATGAATTCTTATCAAAATAAGAAAGAAAATTACAAATATACTTAATTATATATACAAAACATATGTATTTTTTCAAATTGGCTTTCGACAATTATGTTCCTATAAATTAAATAAACCTACATTTTTACCAATTTTCAAAGAGCAAATACAAACGCTAAGTTTAAAATAAAAATTGTACACCATCTACGATTTCATATATACATATTAAAATAAATTAATTTGGTATTAATTCGTCGAGTAAAGTTTATTATCTTATCTATATATTATATATATATATATATATATATATATATATATATATATATATATATATATACACACACACACCTATATTAAACCATTCCCTAGATTATATTTTAAGCATAGCCCATATAGAAAACTTCTTAGATGAAGTGGTATATTAAATATGTTATGGGAGCGCGGGTGGAGTGGTGACGTGCGTCTGTTTGTTGATAACCCGCGACCCTTGAGCTAATTCGCCAGCTTGCATCGCCCGGGCTTTTAGAAAAGCATCGAAACCGTATAGCACCATCGCTAGATAGCCGAAAAACTGAAAAGAAAAAAAAACAATCATGTAAGTTTACGTCAGTAATTCGAATTATAGATTTTAAAAGTGTAACTGTTGCCAGATTACCTAATCCCACCCAAGGTGTACATTGACACACTGGTCCCATACATACCACCACCAACACCCACCGGCGAAAACTAGTTAAATAAAGATATAACCATTGTATTCCATGCATATAAATCAAACCCACACAATTTCGTAACGCATTATCAGAATGCAATAACGTCACGGCCATCTAACATTTATCTAATCAGGATTGTCCATATTTTGTAATATTTCAAAAAGGTCGCAGTGACGCTGATAACGATTGAGTGCAACGAAATATCGTTATTCACATAATGAAGACCCGAATGAGGTCACTTAAGGATCCCCCCCAACGTGCGTTCACCTTGTCGTGGTGGGGGGGCTCAGTAGTGTACTCGCGAAGCCAAGAAACGCACAGGGAGGTGGCCCGCTTCGGTGGGCGGTGGGAGGCGGCCTTCTTCGGAGGGTGGTGTACCATGCGGGTTGCTCCTGGTACTTCTCTGATAGCAGAGTGGACCGTGGAGCTGGTTGTTGTGGTCTGCTTCGGCAGACCTGCCGTCGGGGCGTCGTAGTTGAATGCGTAAGCGATCCTGCGACGCCCCATTAAGACGGGGGAAGGTTTTGTTGGGTTTTAGTGGGTAGTACTGGCTTCGCCGGTGAGTCCCACACTTCGTGCGTAAATGCATTTCCCAACGTAAAAAAAAATAAAAATAAAAAAAAAAGGTCACTTAAGGATAACTGCCCTTGGCCATGTCCTTGCATCGTAATTAGATTAACAAGCGGTTACGATGTGATAAGCGATGAAGGTGGTAACAGGAAGACCCCTATTGACCTATACGATATAGAACGAGCAATTCTCTACTGAATCGTTAGTTCTGTTTGAGTCTTCAGATATTTTTTTATTAAAATTTACTCGCGATCTCGCTCGTGATGTACATTTATTTAATAGGGAATATGCGTGTTTTTTTTTTAATTATACAATAGCTAACATCGTTATATAATTGTAAAAAATAAATCCAACTGCAAAAAACTAAAATTTGGTATATTTTTTTTGTTTTAAATATCATTCCGATACGGATATTTTAAATAAAAAGGCTTATATAAAAAACTTTTAAAAAACCGACTTCCAGATAGGTACTAAGAAGTAAAAAAATAACTAAACGGGGGTTTTCATTTAGAATAGATACCTAATCAAATATTTTCGAAGTCGGTGCCAGCCGATACAAATTAAAGCACACCAACTTCAAAACGAACTTTTTAGTTCCTGGAAGTCGGCTTTTATTTCTCCATTTTTAGTGTAGACGTAATAAGTAGGTAATTTGGAAGAAGAAAGTTTTTTAATAATATATTCGATTAAGCCATTTATGTATATTTAAAAATAATTTATTGTTGATTTTTTTAAAACCGTTCGACTAATTTCGATAAAATTTAAATGGGACCCCCTGGGAAGTATACCTTTCGAAACAATTAAAAGAATTATCCAATCGGCTCAGACGCCTTCGATTAATCGGTGAACATACATAAAAAAAAAAGAAAAAAAAAGATTCCGACGAATTAAGAACATCCTCCTTTTTGAAGAAGTCGGTTGAAAAGCGTTTTCTTTTTAAAATCTTATTGACAATTTAAGAAATTAGAGAAGCAAGCAAATAAATTCTGCAGCTTTATAATAGATGCAGAAAACTTGGTTTAAATAGGTAGGTACTAAAAAATATTAATATGAGATAATTTTTCAAGATTCATCGTAACAACAACTGAGATTATATCATTCAAAGATACTTATATAAAACAAATACTCGATTTTAATTACGTTTCACTTCATCACTATTTAAGCCAAATTAAATGTTTTGAAGAGTAAATGAAAATCGATTTTAAAATTGAACTCAAAATTACATTTAGATTTACGACCTAGAAAAGAATTTAAAATCATTAAGGTTTTTCTATGTATTAAAGTTACTTGCTAAATAAAACACTTTCGTATCGCGTAGTTTAATCGATATAAATTCCTCCTCATTACATATCAACACGTTAAGACTTTCACCGCAAGATTTATTGGGCTTTTTGCAAAACGTTACGCCGATCGTTTCTTGTGGAAAAATCAATTTTCATTAGCTAATATAATACTATATAATTTTATTATTTATACTTTAGTTACGTTTTAATGTTTAGTGTAGATTTCTCAAAGATGTGATATTTTCCCGTATTAAAAAATATCTTATACCTACAACCAGCTACAATCATACCAAATTTCATCAAAATCTGTTCAGTGGTTTTCTCGTGATGCGTTCCCAGACGGACAGATAAAAATTCTAAAAACTATAGATTCCGCCTCTATATCAATAATAATGACTGTTTCAATAAGATTTTCTAAAAAATATTTAATGTACACATTCGACCTAGTTAGAATTTTACCTACAGATTCGACTTATTTAGAATTTTATTATATGTAGGTATAGATAGATGTATAGATTATTCGCAGTCTCAATTGGGTTAGATTTTGTATACGTTACGCGATATGTTCGTCTGTGAATCGATTATTACAAATCTTTTTTTGAATAAATATGTTACTAAGTAGTCAAGAATGAAAATGTAAAATTTCAGAAAAAAAAATCACCGCTCTGGTATAAATATTTTTAAGTGATTTTAATGTCGGCATACCTTTTTTAAATGAAACGCAATGATATAAGCTTTGTTTTTTTTAAATTAGCATCTTCATAAAAAACATACATACACCTTCCTGATTATCACATATGTATACTATCCATTACTATTTGCTAGTTCTTCCTGTAGGTACGATTCTAATTCAGTTTAGTTTTTTCTCTTCTTAACACTAATCATGACCCCACCCCCAAGGCAAAATTTTAAGAGGGAGTGTGTAGAACGAGAACTTTTAATAGGTACCTATATCTTTAGATATGTTCTATCATTCGAAATGAAACTTAGACACATAATATCTTCTATACTAATACTATAAAGAGGTAAAGTTTGTGAGTTTGTGACGTTATGGGGGTAATCTCTGAATCTACAGAACCGATTCAGATGGTAAGACGATAGTTTGAGACCCTGGAAGGACATAGGGTACTTTATATCCCGGAAATCATCCATTAAGGGGGTGAAAATGGGGATAAAAGTTTGTATTGGGAAGCAAGCTATGACGAACCCGAGCGAAGCGAGGGTGAGCCGCTAGTATTTTATATTCTTATAAATTGTAATAAAAAAAAGGTTGGTTAAAATCAGTAATGTCTCACCAACGTAACACAAACATGTGAGTAAACAACTAGCAGCATGTGACTAATGCGGTCTTAAAATATGATATTGCTCTAAAATTAATTAATGATGTAAATTATTATCAGCGCAGTGACGCGCGTCCTTGGAATTATGTGAGAATATTGTTATTTCATCAATTCTCGAGTAATCAATGAAATAAATAGAACAAGTTATCATAATATACCGCGATAATGGCTTAAAATAAAAAAAAAATAGTTCAAATTATCCTACAACATACATCTGATATAAGAAAATAATAGTGTAATAAACATCTATACTAATATTATAAAGAGGAAAGATTTTTTGCTTGTTTTTTTGTACCGAATAAGCTCCGTAACTACGGAACCGATTTAGATGTTTGGTAAGAAGATAGTTTGAGACCCTGGGAAGGACATAGGATAGTATTTATACAGAAATCACCCCCAAAGGGAAGAAAATGTGGATGAAAGTGTGTATGGGGAAGCAACCCAGAGACGAACCCGAGCGAAGCGAGGGCGAGTCGCTAGTATTATATATAAAAATGACAAAAAAATTATACTTATATTAAATCTTTACCCAAAATAAATGATAAAATCCATTAGAAATTTCAAGAGTAAGGGACACATAATTACTATACCTTTTCAGTTAAAAAATAAAAATCATGATAACGTAAAAAACATAACCTTTAATCTTTTTCCGTTCAAAAAATCTAGATTAAACAGATTTACATATCAAGCGCACACAGACTACTTTTCATATACTCAATATGTAACTCACCCCTGCGGCAGAGTATCCAGCAGAACCAAATGCCACAACAATGGTTGAAGATATTAGGTTCAAAAAAGCGAGGACCCCACATGCAATCATTTCCACTTTTAGCCACATGAAGTTATGGTACTTCTCCACCACGTGGAACAGGTACATCATCAGCAGTATGAAGCTGAACCATAGCCCTAAGTGAGCGACGATGTTGAAGTAAACGCCGCGCCCGTTCGACCAGAAAGCTGAGGATTGTATGCAAATGAAGCCAAGCAGGTTAAGAACCTGTTGAACAATGGTAGAATTATAATCATTTTAATAATTATATAAGTATGTAGCTCTTTCATAAAAAAATACGAAATATGTTTATAAAATTGACTCAGCAACCACTCTCCCATGACCATGATTGCTTTAAAACATTTGAAACATCAGGAACCATAACTCAAAATAAATCCGCAAAAAAATCCGAAAAGAGAATTTTATTTTAAATGTTAAATATATGTGTAAATATAAGAAAGTGTTATGTTTATAAACATTAAAATACATATTTAAGTAATTTCAAACAATTTCTTATCTACTTACTCCAATTTGCAAAAATTTGCAAATTTTTTTACTTTGCCTGTACATTGGCAGTTTAGATTTTTTGTGATAATGTACTATTTGCTGTTTTGTTTTAATTTTTATTTTTAAAAAGGTCACATAGTTGCTGTTTGTATTGACTTTAATAATAATAGAATATTAGGAAAATTTCTTTAAATATTGAATTTAATTTAATTATAACAAAATATTCAATCTTAGAAATAAAGTCATATTAATTCGAGAATGAAATGCACAAAGATAACAAATTTTAATATGTATTATGTATCATGTTTAAAGTTTATCTGTATGGTAAGTAAAAAGAAGTAAGTTTATTTGTATGGTATTTTTATTTCAGTATCTATCTTCAAATTGCAAACACACTCACAAGTTGTAAGGTAATTTGGAATTTGTTCAGTATATTTTAAATAAAACTATCTTTTCTGACTGACAGTCTCTCCCGTGACCATTATTGCTGTAAAGCATTTGAAACGTCAGGAACTAAAAATCTAAATAAATCTGGGAAATAATCTAAAAACATAGTTTTATTTACAATGTCAAATATTCGCATTAATCTAAGAAAGTATTATTGTTCAATATATTTCTTGCAAGTTATATAAGCAATGAGAACAAAAAATTGTAATAAGTATATATTTTATTCTAAATCTAGGTATTTTTATGGTTAGTATGGAATAGATAGACTATATACCTATTATATGATATATAGCCTAAACGGCTATCTAATACAAAAAGAATTATTCAAATAGGATTAGTAGTTTCTGAGATTAGCACATTCAAACAAAAAAAAACAAAGAAATAAACAAACTCTACATCTTTATAATATTAGTACAGATTTTTAATTTTAATAATTAAATGTTTGGGTTACAGTAGTAAACAAATTTAGATATAATGTTTTTGGGTACTTACAATAACAGCAGCTTTGACCATTCCCGGTATTGTTTTAATATAATTAGAATCAAAGCGAATATCTGTTCTAAATATCACATTTGTTGATCCCATACTTTGAGGGGGGTTTTGATTTTGAGGTGATGCCATTTTTATTTACTAAAATTGTAATTATTTTCTATGTAAATACCAAGAAGAAAGAAAACCTTTTTCATAAAATGAATTATAAGAAACTACTTACATAATACCACCTAGCTGTTACAGATTTAAAAAAAATGTTAAGATTCTTGGATTTTTATTCCGCAGTAAGATAATAGATGCGAGATAAGAATGTAGTCACTATTTCTCCTTGACACTATAACATACGAACCAATGCCGAAATGTGTTAAATGCATCTCTGACTCATATATTTAAATAGCAAGCCATGATTTGCTTACGGTGTTTACTATCAACCAGTGCGATGATTACCCCATTGTTTGCACCGCATTGTTTATACAGTAATTACGGCTAAAAGTACTCATATTTTTTTTTTTCAAAAGCAATGTAATATCTCCATATTCAAATTCGAGCATTTAACAAAATATGTTCTGCTCAACAAAACGACCGGTAACTCCGTCCGTAAACACTACAAATTGCGATGACCCTAGAATTCCAATGAAAAACATCTTCATTCTTCACGAAATATGAATATTAAAAGTCAGTTAAGCTGTCAAGTGTCAACAGTCAAATGTGCGTCAACGTCAAGGTACATATTTTCAATTTTGTATCACAGGTTTGTATGGACAAACCGGTATATTATTGAATTATTTAGAAAATATTATTAAACAATTTAATCATATTTATCCTTATATAATATTATAAAATTATTTTTTAGATATAAACTATTTTTAATATGGCTTGATATAAAGCTTAGGCTATTAGCTATGCGTACAATGAAGCATAACGCATTGATACGTTCGATATTGAAATCGTATACATGTATTATTGTGATAATTTTTAAAATAGTTAAATGAATTATTTAATGTTCATAGTATATAAGAAGTAATCCTTAGAATGAAATAATATAAAGTATATTTAATAAATTATAATTCATTAATACGAGCAAAATATAGATAAAAAGTACTCTTGTAAAAAGATCCATTTATGAATTGAAAGTTCCAACAAAGTACAAACATTTCAGAATTCAGAGTGGGTGGATGAGGACATCCGACTTATGTCAGTTGTCAACATTGTATTAACTATTGAGTTTTGTCGATATTTTTCATAAAAAATAATAAAGTAAATAGTTTATTGTAAATTTATATAAAAGTAACTATTTTATAGTAATAAGTGGTACTCTTTTTAATATAGTGAAAAAGGTAAGCAGTACAAAAGCGTACGTATAAAATTTCATTAACATGTGTATTGCTCAATAAACGCTATTTTAGGAGGTGACCAAATAGTGTTTCGATATATATTAATTGTGCCAGTTCATAGTTTATTACGAAAAGAATTTAACGCAAGCTAATTTTGATGTGTTAGTTTTATCATGTTTACAATCGAACATAAACACTGGAGGAGGTTTTTGGTATTTAATTATTGTAAACAAAAAATGCTATCATTAGTTCACAATGTTTTCCTTGTTTTTTTTTTATTATTGTGTCAAGACTTATGTTATGAGTAATATAAAAATATCTGGTACCATCAAAATATATAAATATTTGCACGTGTAACATTCATATTTATTTACAGTATCTATAATATTATAAATAGCTCAGAATACATTAATGAGTATTATTTAAATACATTAAAAAAAGATATTCCATAAAAAAGTCTGTATATATACTTTGAAAAATGTATTGATACATTTGTAGGTAAGACATACACTTTGTGACATTTTCATGTTCCACCCCTTCTTAGTTTAGTTTTAATAGGTATTATGTATACATATATAAACAAATAGATATAGATAATAAAATTTTAACTAACCTGGCCTTAACTTATTACTTACCTATTATATATTGCCCTTATTGTTACTTGCTTTAACTACAACTAATATAGACTGTAACCAAATCTCATAGGGATAGTTTGATGTACCAAGATTAAAATATTCTCTAAAGCATTAGGCAATTTTCCTAACAAAATCTCTTTCCATTTATAATATCAGTAAAAAAATTGATATTAAAAATCATTAGTCTTATAATGATTTACCTAAAGGATTGTATAAATTTTCTACTATCTATGAAATTGATATACATTCTTTTAAAATTACCTATGACTTTAATGATTTACATTAATAAAAGTTATAGGTAATTTTAAAAGTATTGATTTTTTTGCCTATAAAAGTTTGCATTTTAAGTGTGAATAATACGAAGTAAAAACTATAGATTTTAATTGACAGGGGTTAGTCTAAATGAGACTGCCGGGAAATTACTTCAAAGCATGCAAGTTTGTGTGAAAACACATACTTGCACGCAAATTGCAACTCGGGCTGCCCTTAAGTATGTTGTGACAAAAAATCAATGCCAAATATATAAAAAACTATCTCAATATTCTTTATATATAAAGTATATTTTTGACATATTTTCAGCACTACTACTTTCATATAATGCTAACTAAAGTAATCACTCGCACACATTAATCATGAATATTAATGGTTAGTAACAGATTACATTTATCAAGTTTTCTACAGTATGATTTGTGTTACAAATTTGTATAACTGGCATTCTTTTAAGCTATAAAGTAAATATAAATTAAAATACAAATTAGATTGCTAATTATGTAAATCACTATACAAAAAAAGAACATGTATCATTATCACAAGGTTGGCATCACATCATAAATATTTTTGTACATAATATTATGTTACTTATCTATCTGTCAAAATAATATATTATTATCATCATCTATACTAATACTAAAAAGAGGAAAGTTTTTTTGTTTGTTTTTAACAAATAAGCTCTGAAAATACTGAATTGATCGAGATGAAATTTGGTAAGAAGATAAGTTTGTGACTCTGGGAAGGATATAGGATAGTTTTTATTCTGGAAATCATCCCGTCAAGGGGGTGAAAATGGGTGTGAATGTTTGTATGGGGAAGCAACCTATTGATGAACCCGAGCGAAGCTAGTTATTGATAATATAATAACAGTTTAACAACAGGTCACATATAAATACTATATGAAATATCTTCAAAATATAATAATATATATATATATATATATAAAAATATATATATATATATATATTACATAGAATATGTATGTATACTCTAATGCATAACTAGATACTAATTGAATTTAAAAAAATATTTATTATATAACTCAAAAGTAAAATTATTTTATTCCATTTCTAAATATAGGTAAATAAGGATGGCCGAAACAGGTTTCCCCGGTCAGCACACTACTACCACCACAGTGACTTCAAGCACTACAGTCCAAACAAACATACGCTTTGACCCCTCATATCTTAAAACTATACCAGGAATACTCAAAATTGTTCAAGTGGTAAGTATTATTGTTTTTTATTTACTAGCCATATTTTGTATTACAGGTACCAATATTCTACGAGACCTCTAAATGAGTTACCTTTAATGTATAAGCAGCATTACCTACCCTACTCTTAAATTTGTAGTTTTCTATAGGTATATGTAATCTTAATATACTTCTTACCTATATAGATATTAAATAAAAATAATGTTTCAGTGGGTTATAACTTTTAATTATACATACACCTTTTAGTTAAAAAAATTACAATTAAAATTCAGCAATAAGTTTAATCCAAACCAATTTAAAACAAAAACCCATAAAGCTAAAGATATGTTAGATTTGGCTAACAAGAATGAGAACAAAGAATTTTACATAATATTTTTTTTTTCAAGTTTTATACTTTTTTACACCCGTTGTTTTTTGTGTTGTGCAAGCAATTTTGCTTGTGTATAAATTAGTTGAGAGTTAAAAAGCAAATGATTTCACACTCGCTGTAGCTTTCTTTTATATTATTAGTGTTTTAGAAGTAATACTAATAATTTTATAATCATAAAAATATATGTGAAAATGCTCAAAATAAAACGAATTGTTATATGGTAAATCTTATATTTCACTCGATACTGGAACAACCTGCAAAATTTAAAATTATGTTAATATATATTTTTTTAAATATTATAAATAAGTTTTTAATCAAATCCGGAGAAAATTACATATATGATTTTAAAATAAAATTCGCTATAAATATGTCAGGACATTAACACACAGCACCATCTAGTTCCATGGTAAGCTACGAGGCTTGTGTTATGGATACCAGATAGTTGATACATTATACATATATAACTTTAAATACATACATATTATAAATATAAACACCCATGACTGGAGTACAAACATTCGTGCTCATCACACAAATGAATGCCCCCAGCGGGACTCGAACCCGCGACCGCTGGCGCAGCTAGCAGGGTTACTACAAACTGAGCCAAACGCGTCGTCAAACGCTTTATTTTAACTTAGTTAATGTTAAAACATAAAACTGGCATTGAATGGGTTTAATGCAAAACTGATTTTTCACATCTGTTATTGATTTATTTCTTGCAGTTTTATTATTTACTATCAAAAGTATAGCTTAAGTATTTGGCTATCTTGATTCTCTATAAGTATACATACCATTCATATTGTGTTCATTTGCTCATTGCCATTGATGTGGCCCGAGCTATAACACTGCCAGCTTCTACATTGCCAAAGAACGACATAGCAAGGGCCGCCAAGCTCCCTGCTACCACTCCAGTGACTGCAAAACCCAATTTCAAGAGAATCCATGCTCCTTTTCCTGTACAAACTACTAAGCCGGCTAACACGTTCACTACACCAGCGGCGCAACAATTTCCCATTGCGATCTCGCAATTCGCAACGTTTATGTTTAACGATTTAATATCTCTAATCGCTATGTAATCTGAAGTATTTTCGAAAAATTCACTATTTAGTTTTAGTAATACTTCATACTTTATAAAGGACTGCCACGACCTGACTAGCGAGTAGCGTGAAAGTACGTACGTTATATGAGCACTAAATGTGTTTAGTATGAAGTTTGCGCTTTACTCTATAACGGGGGATTTCCCGGTTGAAAAGTTTTTCGTAGTAGGTATGTTATATAAAAAGTTATAGTCTATTCTCAATCGCTGGTACGGGTATGTCCCGAAATAAGTGTTGTAAGTTTTAAAAAAACGAGGAAAAATTTATTACGAAATTATGTAATGTGTTTTTAATAGGTTTTTTTTTTATTTCTGTTATTTGTTAAGCTCACTTTCTTACAACCTTGACATATTGGCTTTTTTTGTGAAGAGAAACAAATAAATTATTTTAATAATAAACATTAAGACTAATAAATTTATGATTAATATTTAAAAATTGGTAAAATTTTATGGATTTGAATTTACTTTTATTCACGAGATCGTTTTTGTTAAAAAATAACATATTCAGACATATTATTTATTAATACATACCTACATTATTTTTTTTGACGATTACGAAGTATTTGAGTATTATATAACTAGCGACTCACCCTCGCTTCGCTCGGGTTCGTCCCTAGCTTGCTTTCCCATACAAACTTTCATCCCCATTTTCAACCCCTTAAGGGATGTATCACGGGAGAAAAAGTATACTATGTCCTTCCCAGGGTCTCAAAATAAGTATCTTCATATCATATATCGGTTCAGTAGATCCAGAGACCCCCTAGAACGTCACAAACTCACAAAGTTCACTTACCTCTTTAATAATAATAATAATATTAGTATAGATAATTACACTACGGGTCTTAAACGCGTGAATATGTTAGTGTCTATTTTCCATATTCCAGATGTTTCGACAGTTTGATTGAAAAAAATAATAATATATCTCTAGTAATAATATAATATTTTAAATTCTTATTGTTTGGCTTCATGTTTAGTTCTATGAAACTCTATCTATATTATGCCTTAGTCTGAGATCATAATAAAGGCAATTTATGTATATGTAATACTAGCAGAACCCGCGGCTTCGCTCGCGCTAAAACTACAAAAAAATCTCTAAAAATGTAGGTTACCTACATAGGTTTCATTATTCATAGAAACTTTCATCCCCTATTTTACTCCCTTATAGGATGAACTTCGAAAAATGCTAAAACACGTGTTTATTTATTTGTATTGAAGAGCATTAATACTAAGTATCAAGTTATTCTGATCAGAAATATTTTTTTGGATTGTATTATAACGTGTTTTCCCGTGGGAATGAGATGATCTCCCGCGATAAAAAATAGCCTATGTCACTCTCCAGCTCTCCAACTATCTTCACACCAAAAATCTCTCCAATCCGTCACTCCGTTTCGACGTGAAAGAAAGACAAACAAACTAACACACTTTTATATTTATAATATTAGTATGGATTATTATAGATGTTCTATCTTTTAGGGATGCAGTCTTCTCGGCTTCATTTGCATCCTGTGCTCTCGACTCAGCGTGAGTAAGGGCGCCTACTTCAGTTGGATATCCATGATTGCGTTCTGGTTCACCGGCATCCTACTGGGCTTCTATTTGTTCCACATCGTCGAGAAATTCTACAAGATCCCATGGTTGAAGATTGAGTTCGTGTTCACTGCGCTGTGGACGCTGCTGTACCTGCTGGCCGCGATATTGGTCGTGACAGTGGGAGACAGTGCTCACTCGGCCGCTGCGGTGAGTACTTACTTACTGTTTATTTTATTTACCGACTTCGAAAATTCGTATTGGGTTTAGTTAGAGTAAGATTTTTTCATATGTACCTTATATTGCTATCTTTGGCAGTTATAAATAGATTTTTATAACTCTTTTTTTTTAATGAGTAGGTTCAGGTTGGTCGCCAATAAATTCCTATGAGATAGATATTAGGCTGCATTTAAATGATATTTCAAGGTTGTGCCCTTTTTTAGTAAAAAATATTCCATGTTTAGTATGAAAGATTTACTTAAAAAAAACTTTTAAAAAATAAAATAAAAACCGACTTCAAACAAAAGCACTAAAAAGTAAAAAATAACTGATTGGTAGTTTTCATTTACCATACATACCTAATCAAATATTTTCGAAGTCGGTGTGCTTTGCTTTATATGGGCTGGCACCGATTCGAAAATATTTGATTAGGTATGTATTTAATAGGTAGACTTTAATTACTTAGCCAAAGCACACCGACTTCGAAAATATTTGATTAGGTATGTATGGTAAATGAAAACTACTAATCAGTTATTTTTTACTTTTTAGTGCTTTTGTTTGAAGTCGGTTTTTATTTTTTTGTTAAAAAGTTTTTATTTTTCCCTTTTTAGTGTAGACAGTAGTAGCAAAGTAAGAATTCTAACGTATTAAGCTTGTCACCCAAACTCAAAGTATCTACTATTAGCGGAAATAGAAACACTTGCAAAGTTTCAAGTCAATATGACAATTAGAAGTAGGTTAAATTCATCATTAGCTATTTTTCCACCCTTAGGGGTGGTATTTTTTTTTGAAATGTAAATGGGACCAATCTGGAAGTATACTCTTTCAAACGACACAAAAATTGTCCAAATCGGTTAATAAATGACGGAGTTCTGAGGTAACAAACATAAAAAAAAAACAGTCGAATTGAGAACCTCCTCCTTTTTGAAGTCGGTTGAAAATAGGTTTACTTTATGAATTTGTGATTAGAAAAATTATATTATTTAAGTACACTAATAGTATTATTATAAACGTAATTTTTTTTGTGTATGTATGTGCATGTATGTGTGTTTGTTTGCTACCCCTTCATGCTCTGACGACTGGAGATATGATAAAACTTAATACCCATAAATGATGGTATGGAGTAAGATATGATTGTTACATACTAGAAATGCTAGTTCAGTGATATATATACGTCTATTATATGAGTATAAACGGTCCAGTTCTTCGGTTTCGTGGCGACGGCCGCGTACGCGATGGACGCGTTCGTGAAGTACCGCGCGGCGCGCGGCGGCGGCCTGGCGCAGGGCGCGCGCGTCGTGTCCAAGCAGACCACGTCGGTGACGCCGCCGCGCGAGGCCTACTAGCCGGTGGCCCGCTCGCCTCACATAACACGTTTAGTATTCACCTTTCTGTAGCTGCACTCAATATTTTGATATGTTATTAAAATTATATTATTATTATCAACGATTAAAAAAAACTAGATACACAACCCAATGCAAAAGTTCTCTTAAAACTAAACAATGTAAATTGTACCTTAAAGACAGTGCTTAAAGTTGTTTTCACAAAAGAAATAATCAATAACGCGCTCAATGTTTAAATAAGGGCTCATTCGGTGAGGTTATTTTTTGTCGCTGATTGTGTATCTAGTACTTTTTTGATAAACGGTTATTACCCAATAAATAACGTTATGGAACTTTAACAAATAACTCCATGTAATAAAACCTGTCGAACTTAACAATTGTGTACCAGTAAAATTGACACAGACATATCAACTTATTCATGTCAGCCATATATTTTAGGGGCCGTTTTTATTTTAGAAACGGGTCACCTTTACGGTCGTTTTGCTATAAGATAAAAGTTATTATATTTAAGTAGGCAGTAGGCGGTAGGCGCTCCACTTTTACTATATTATGTATGTATTAATGCACTTGTAGTGTTCGTCAAAATAATTCTTAAAAGTTTAGTATTTTGTAGATCATTAAGAAAAGTATACATTATACTCGTATAATATATAAAGCACTAAATATATAAAATATGTGACTATCAGCAAGAACCGCAAATCAAAATGAATATAATTATTTATATAAAGATATTTAATAATTACTATTTGATATTTCTTTTTTCTTTTAAAATTTTACATTTTTATTATATTCTGATATGAAACAGTTAAATGAAATTTTAACTAAAACTGTTGGCTCGGATTTTTTCGCGGATTTATTTAGATTTTTGGTATCCTGACTTTTCGAATGCTTTATAGCAATTATGGTCACGGGAAAGGCTGGCTCTAAATAAATCTGCGAAAAAAACTGAAAAGATAGGTTTATTTTAAAATTTTAACTATTTAGTGTATGTGATGAATTGCATACTCAACAAACTTGTGCCTTCAAAGTGTTCTGAAATATACATATGAAAACAGATCTAGATGATGAATAAGGGCCGAACCACACTATAGTGCCGATCACAGTCCGTTCTCGGTCCGATATCGGTCTGGTAAGTATTTCTATACAAGAAACGTTGCTGGAACGTGATTCGACCGGAACGTGAGTCTTACTGATAGTGTGAATGCACTCATTGTTTCTCGTATAACAATACTTTACCAGACCGATATCGGAGCGAGAGCGAACCGTGATCGGCACTATAGTGTGGATCGGCCCTTAAAGTGGTATTTTTGTCTAAACATTATTAAAATTAAATTAATATATTTTTATAAAGCAATTTTTCAAATCCCATTTTAATATAAACTATCATTACTCATGCACGGAATTGCTTACACAGTGGAGGTAAATCTGAAAAAAGTATTAATCGATTAAACGCTTTAGATAACAACACAATATTTACTAACATTTGTAGTGATACAATATTTAATATTATATATAGACTGTATGTGCTTTTCAATGATTCAGGGAAACAACTTTGCTAGATTTTTCTTATATTTTTCTCATTATGTTTTTGTGTCCTTTCAGATTTTTATTTTTATTTAAGAAGAAATGTGTACTTAACCTTTTTTATTATTAGTTTTATAAGTGCATCAGTCGTAGTGATTCACTTCTAAGATATACAATCGATAATTATTTGCGATAAAATGATAAGACAGCCGTGTTTTTAGATTAGCTTATCTCTTTGTCTTTGTCACTAAATAATAACATGTTTTTATAGCAAATCTCATCACTTTTGATATATCGTAAACAATCTTTGATGTATGTGAAAGAATATGTACCGTACTCGTACGACGTATATTGTCTTTTGCAACGAACAACGTTGTAACTCAGTTCTCTAACTCACTCACTCGGTTCCAATTCAATTGCTACAATACTAAGTTACAATGTTGTTTTTAACGGGTGTCGATTTGTCACCAGTCCCTGTGGCCGAGTTCCATAATTTGAAGTCGTGCAAAATAATGAACGCACAATAAAAGAGAATTTCAATTCAATTTTCTTGTTAATTTTACCAAAGTCAGTAGATCACCGACAACGTTGACACCTCAAAAAAAGTATCCCAAATAAAAACATAATAATTTGTTTTTGAGAACTCATTTATAGGTAAATGTAAAAATTCTGAGAATTACGGTAAATCTTCCCGTGGATCTGAAAACTTGAACTGTATCGATCCACGTACGGGTCAGCTACGGGAAAGCATCCCGTACACCCGTAGATCGGACGAACAGTCACTTCGTTAAAAAAATTGACTTTTATTCTCATCAAAACCTTTTCAAAGTTGACATAGGTATAAAATCACAATACAATAGAATATTTTAAGCACAAATTCTTCAGAAGTTAATCTGAATCTTGCTACACTCTGTATTCATTCTCTCTTTTTCTGATAATTTCTGCCTACCATTTACGCTTTTTCTTTCCATGTCTAAGTTATTTAAGTTTAATTTTTAATTTTCTCATCAAAATATGTAGGTATATCATACAATGATACATAGTTGTTAATGAATAGCCCGGCCGCATGTTACAAGACATTTTCTGTCAGAAAATTTCTGACGCTCGCCGTAAAGTACTTTGCTCATATGTTTTGGTCTAGACTCCGCATATTATCAGAATTTTGACGTGTCTGATGTCCGCTTCTGATGAGTTCCGGATGCAATCGATCGGACGTCAGATTTGTTTCTGATCAGAAAGTCGGAGGGCGCGCTCTCTATACGTTTTGTGCTAAACCCCGCACACTTGTCAAAAACTTGCATCAGTTGTCGAGCGGACTCCGCGAACTAAACTAAACATTGTCATACTCGATAAAGCGAGGTTTCTGATGAGTCTGCGAGTTGGCATCAGAAATTTTCAGCTAGAAAAAAAATCTTATAATACGCGGCCGGCCGTAAGCTACTTTACTATGGTTTTAAATTACTATTCACGTGCACTCTTGAGTGTCACTTGCATCAACATTTTTATTTTTAATTTGGTTTATATGTTTTATCAATGTTTAGCATATGGAAGACATTTGAATTAAATTAAAATGAAAATAAATACAATTATTTATAAAAACATATTTAATCATGGCCATTTGAAATGATCTTATTTCTTTTGACAATTTACGTTTTTTATAATATATTCTGATAAGATTATATGAAACAGTTAAGTGAAGTTTAACTTTTCAGTGTGCGGAGTAATCTGTGCTCAACTGGCACGCTTTGAGGCTATTAACATGATAATTGTATTGAATCGAACTATTTAGTGTATTTGTTTGTTACAAGTGACTTCTAGGTGCATGTTTTTTGTATTCAGCCATCTTTAACCTCCCACTTCAATACGAGGGGGATCAGGCCCACCACGCTGGCCAAGTGCGGGTTGGCACTGACTTTACACACATGTGTACATATTAGCTTTAATATATTTATATGACACTTACACACTAATTACCTCAATTTTGAATTTAAATGCTTTTATATTGTTATTTGTTAATGTTATATATCAATGTATTGTAAATAGTGTAAGACCAAAGAAAAATAAAATTCACCGACGCTCAATTTTACAAACAATGACATTTTTGAAGATGACATTAATTTATATTTTGATTGCACTGAAATATAGGTATAGGTAAGGGTAAATCATAGACGTAGAGAATGGACTGAGTAATACTGTCACGAAATTGACCACTTTCTAGAAAGAGAGGAAGCGAACGTGCGGCCAATACATTTGTTTCAATTTTGAATTTATAAATGGAATGTGACAAAAATTATAATATTATTGAAATTTATAATATTATAATGGAACGTAAAATGCTTATCTACCTATCTTCATTTATCATATTTCAATGAATACAGAAGACTTCTGGCCGCACATTCGTTTTGTCTATGTCATTCCGCTGTTCCGCCATGTTTAGCTGACGGCAGGCAAAGAGACAGAGTTCACTCTCATGTCTATGGTGTAAATATAAACAACGAGTATAAAATGTACCTGCACTATAGAAATCATTGATTAGATATTTTATTAAATATGTTAATTTGTTTTATTATTTGTTAGTATTTTTATATACATATATTTAATGTATAATGTAAAAGTAAAAAAAATATATTCCTAAAACGTCTTTAAAATTAATATTAGTAAGGAAAATTCGTCTTAAAATTTAATCTTTAAACTTGCATTTGGAACAATAGTAATAGATACATATACATTTATTTATCTACTACATTATTCAACCGATTTTTTTAAATAAAGCCTTTTATTTTAAACATTTTTATAACGGAATTTAACACTAAATATCTTTCTACCATGTTCTACTATTGTCTATACTTATGTCTCTGACAGTAAGTTGTAAAGGCATGTATACATTAATTATAGATTATATTTGTTTTTAACTAATTGGTATCATTTAATTGTTAAAATGTTGATTAAGTGTTCATTTTTTATTATTAATTTGTAACTTAGTTTTATTTAAGATATACCTAAATATTCTATTTAAACTTTGCAACGCTTTGTGTTTATTAAGATGTCTTCACATTAGATAACACATGATTCGTCGTATTATTTTTTTTCCACTGAATATTAAAGGATGTTGATTGCATTTTTTTACCGACCTAAATTATTTTAATGATTACATTTGCTATTTAAAACTATTCAATGTGCGCACACCTTTGACATCAAACGCAATTTTTGCTAAAATTGTTAATTTTTTGAATGTTATACATATTTCTTATAATCTAATTGTTAACAGTTGATTAATAATATTTTCATTGCTATATAAACAGGTTTGCAAGTATTTTGTAATGTAAGGCAATTATATCTCTATGTAATGTTTCAAATAAATCTTAATTATTAATATTAAATTGTTTTATTTTTGAATCTGTGGGCTTAAATCTACTCAGATAAAAAAAACTGAAGTGTCTGTTTGTAATGTCAATATCAGCTTTTTACTAAATGCATATGAAATTATATACGATACTTATAAGTCTGTCTGTTTGTTCCGGCTATTCTCCGAATCGGGTGGAGTGATTTAGATGGGATTTTTACAGACATATAGCTGATGTTATAAGGTGTAACTTATGCTAATTTTATTTTAGAAAAAGAATTAAGAGTCCCACTCACAAAAAATAAAACATACCTACGGACGCACCCGAGCGAAACGAGGGTGAGTCGCTTGTAATAAATAAATTTTGGAAAGATTGATTAATCATCGTAGGCTTTTTACTAAGACAAGTTGACTGATATTTTTGCCTGATAGCAAAAATCAAAACTTACTGTGTGGCAAGCAATAAAAATGACAATAAAACTTCTTTAAACATTTAGCTTTTCTTCAAGTCATTCAGGCTGAGGCCAAAATTAAAATAAACTTAAAAACTTAAAATTCAGTCTGTATATAAAAGGTATTATTATTTTTATTTCATTACACATACAAGGGCTCTCTTTTTTAATGGAATAGCATTTGGGTGTCCGATCGTCGTCGTCGTCAAAAATTACTTTATTTTTTAGAAAAAGACGCTTATACGGATAATAAGCAAAACGTTATCTGATTGCAAAATTTGTTCCAAATCGTTAAAGTAGTTTCAGAGTTACACGAAATAAATTATACATACAAGAACTGCTCATTTAATATAAGATAGTATGCACTATACATGTCTGTATTGTATTTAATGCTCTTTTTTAGCAAATATACAATTTAATATAGTATATAAAATGAATATTTTAATGAATAAAAATTACAGTGGATACGTAATATATTATATTTATTAATAATTTATTATATATAGAATGTGGAATAGTGTTTATTACAATATAATTAGTTACAATTTGAGGCGCTTGATTTCTTCTAGCTTGAAGTCTGTCCTGTAAAAAAAAGTGATAACTTTATAGGTGTTTATTATATATAATACTAATAATTTATTTTTATCATATATATATTATTATGATATGTTTTGGTTTTAAATGAATAAAATGAGAAAAAAAGTACAGTCTGCTAATCCATGAAGACGCGTAACGATTCCATCTCGACAAAGCAATACTCGATGAAATACGGGCGAGTAGCTATCGGCTACAATATTACTTATATTTTATACATGACGGTTGGGAAACGACTTTAGGGTTGACAAATTTAACTTAAATTTAATTCAATTTCCTTGTTAATTCCAGTCCCAGTTGAACACAAATTATTTCGCCAATATCACAACTATAATTTAGCCATTATTCGTTATGATAATTAGTATTTTTGACAACCCTTGTATTCATTTGACAGACTGACGGTAATGCCAAAGTTAAAGGCGTATGACGTATTGCATGGAACGATATATTGTTGCGCTAGCACTATACTATGTATAGTATATTTGCGTTAAGAAAATAGTGAGTCATTGTTGTCCATCAACCCATAAATTTTAAAAATGAATATCGAGTAAGAATAAAAGTGGATCGATAATTCACAGTGGAGAAAGACAAGTAATTTACAATATTTTTAAGTACTTTAAACTGTGCGTTTTAAATTATTTTGATTCTTTTATAATAAATACACACGAAAAATGATACTGATTAAATGTATTATTAATGACTTAATGAGATAATTAAGTTTATTTTTATCCATTAAACTTAATCTTTTGAAATGTATTTGAATGGAATTTTTACTTCACTACACGTTTACCCTGCAGTCGCACTCGACGACTCACTATTTTCTTAACGCTAGGGGTGGGGAGCGGGGAGGGGGTGTACCTGCGCGCGAGGACGGCGCGCACGCGCGCGGGCGACAGCGGCGCGGCGGGCGCCAGCGCGTCGGGCGCGTGCGCGGCGCGCTCCAGCGCCAGCAGCGCGGCGGCGGCGACCAGCGCGCGCGCGCGCTCGCGCAGCGCCGGCGCGCCGCCGCCCGCCCACGCCGCCAGCCGCCGGCAGCGGCGCTCCACCAGCAGCCCCCCGTGCTGCACACACACACGGTTATTTACTATATAGTTACTTCTATAATATTTATTTATGTACTTTGTATTCCTAATACCTACTTATTGTTTACCGAATTTAAAATCTATTCGTTTATTTTTTTAGAGAAAATGTGTAGTGTTTAAGAAACAGATAGACAGGTGCACAATAAGTTTTATAAAAGTTTTTTTTTATTATTAAATATATTATTGAAACTAGCCTATGGTTAAACCATAGAAAAACGAATTATTTAACAATAACATAATCTACATTTTTGTCAACTGCATAATGTACCTGATTATAATATAAAAAAAAATATGCTATAAAATTTTTGAATTAAGTAATAAAAAGAAAATTAAGTGTCTCAGATTACTTATAATTCACTAGAATTACCGCTTCAACAAAAATTACAATATTAAACAATTATTTTTTTAGTTTAAGAAAGGCTGGGTGGACTCACCCGGTCGTAGGAGTTGCGCAGCAGCGCACGGTCGGCGCGCGCCAGCAGGTCTGCCAGCACGGCGGCCAGCAGCGCGTCGGCCGCGCGCGGCACCGCGCCGCGCGCCGCCTCCGCCAGCGCCTCCAGCGCCGCCGGCAGCGCGCCCGCCTCCTCCTCCACCTCCTCTGGAACATTGTCATATAAAAAAAAATTGTGCGTGTAACCTTTACGCGCGGCTGAAATAAAACTTCTATGGTAAATATCGCAATTAAATTAAAACAAATCCATAATGAAATAACGCATATTAAACATATTAAAATTATATAATATGTATTTATGGAATATCATTTAAGGAAAGAATATAATATTATATATCATTAATTGTCGGACAATAACAACGGTTACCTTGACAACAATAATTAGCCATTTTATGTGATATAACATACTTTTACATATATTCATCAACATACTCGAGTTATTCTGTTCAGTTTAATGGAATTAATTTGTTATAAGGATTGACCAAGAATTCAGCACATATCCTAGCACTCCTTTGGTAACAGATTCGAAAAACTATTAAAACAATAGTTTAGTAGTTATAGAATAAGAAGTAGTTATATCTCGATAGGCTAGCTGTCGGGATGATACGTGTACGTGTATGTGTGAACGTATTCGACCGACCGGTGTCCGTGTCGGGGTCGACGAGCGCGTCCGCCCAGTCCTGCACGGCGGGCAGCAGCGCGGCGCGCAGCGCGGCCAGCGCGGTGTCGCGCGCGGCGCGGAAGGCGGCGGCGGCGCCCGCCAGCCCGCCGGCGCACGAGCGCAGCTTGGCGCGCGCGCCGCCGCGCCCGCACAGCGCCGCCGCCTCCGCGCACGCCTCCTCCGCCAGCCGCTCCGCCCACTCCGCGCCCGCCTCCGCCTCGTTCATATGCGCCTGGTACACCAGACCACATTTCGATACGATATAAAAAATCTAAACCAACAATATTAAAAAACCGGCCGAGTGCGAGTCGCAATCGTGCACGAAGGGTTCCGTATCGTTATCTCTAAAAACGGCAAAAAATCACGTTCGTTGTATGTACCCTTAAATATTTATTTTATTCTGTTTTTTAGTATCACGGTTCGTGAGACACAGCCTGTTGACAGACAGACAGACAGACGGACAGACAGCGGAATCTTAGTAATAGGGTCCCATTTTGCCCTTTGTTCAAGTAGGCGCAACAGGAACGTAAGTTATTTATATGTATCAAGCAATAAGCTATGTACCATCCTGAGTGAGTCAATAAATGAGAAGGAATCCTATTTCCAACGCTCCCAATTGGCGGGTAAATTACCCGAAAAGCGGGGTAATTTTGTCGGGTATTTGCTATCAGCGGGGTCAAAGCAGGTATTTTAATTTAACTGATTAATTTGATATTTTTATTTATTTTTTGTTCGATTTAATCATTTAAAACTGTTTAATGGAAAGCTGATTACAATGACTTCTTTTTCTATCATTAGTGGTTTCTTTTATTCTATATAAAACATGAAAATAAATTACTTAAAAGAAAACTGTTTTCGGGTATTCAGCTCGTGGTCGGCTTTGAAGTTTATTTGTCGGATAAATCAACAAATGGTATCTGGCAACCCTGTCCATCTCCGGACATACCAGGTAGAGCGCGCGCTGGTCGTCCAGCTCCCTGGAGGGCGGGTGCGGCGGGTGCGGCGGCGCGCGGCGCGGCGGCGGCGGCAGCGGCAGCGGCGCGGCCGGCGGCGCGGCCAGGCGGCGGCGCAGCGCGGCGGCGCAGCGCTCCAGCGCCGCGCCCGCCTCGTTGAGCACGGCGCACAGCCCGTCCACGCTGCCCGTCGAGATGCCGCGTCTGCACACACACACACACTCGTTAAGTAGCTCCACACCACCGCATGCTTTGTATGTCAGCGTATTTGTAGGGTTTTCGTTGTCGTAAAGGTCGTTGGTCGTTTGAAGTTCAAAAAATAAAATAAGTTGAATTGTTCATGTTCAATACGAGTTCGTAGTTCGTACAAAATTGGTCCTAATCGAGTCGGATACCTCGAGCAAAAAGTCCACTGGTGCGAGTAAAGTTTAAATCGCATCAGATATTTGAGTGCTCGAGTCAAGAAAATAATAGTACCTACACACGAGCGTGTGTGTCTTAGTTGTTCTTATCATTGTCGTAAAAAGTTCAAAAGAGGTCGTTATGTAAAATAAATATTTACTACAAGAAAACATATTGGAAGCTATATCTAAGCTTGCAGCCAATTTCAAAAAACTCCAAAGTCTAGATTGTCAAAGTCCTATTGTGAGATTAAAATACAAACGCTTGATCAGTACTGGGATTCATTTAGCAATGGCCATTTAGATATTTTAAAATCGGCTAAAAAGGAGCAAAAGGAAAAAGATGAATATTTTATCGAAGATTTATTTTCAAAATGTGAAATGTTGGATGTATTGCAGTCTTTTGAAGCTGAAAAGAATGAAACTCAACATGTAATAGCAACACCTCAAGAAATCAAGTTACCTAAAATTAATATACCTTCATTTAAAGGCAGTTATAATTATTGGACACTAAAACCATGCATTATCTACTGTGATCACGCGAACATGAACGGAAAGGTACATAATATGTGAACTATCGCAACTAGATAGTTCCGCGAACACGTTTCGTGAACATAGTTCCTTTATAAAAAGAAACTATTCCATGTTCAATCCACTCCAGGACCTAGTTTGGCCTAGAGCTGTAGCAAACCGCGTGTATTCGGTACTGAGTAACGGGTACGCCATCTAGTACCGAGTGCCGAAACTTTACTCACGAATGCATTTCTTTAGTCGCATTTTCCGTACATATTTTCGAACTGATGTTTTTATTGATTTTTTATTCAGCAAAATACAACTTTCAGTTAATACTCAATAATACCATTGATGAGTAAATTAGAGAGTTTATTTATTTATTTCGAGTTGCATGATTTCCAGATCTTAGAAATTTTGTTTAGAAACAATTTTCAATTAGAAACAACCATTATATTTAGAACACATTTTTAGTTTTTTATCCAACAAATACTTGATAATTTTTACCGAATGATTATGTCAAATCAAATAAAAATACACTTTATTCAAATAAACTTTTACAAGCTCTTTTGAATCGTCAATTTTACATTTTAAATTAAAATTATATGTCAGTGTAGTCAGTCCGTGAGGAAGCTACCACCGGCTCGGAATGAAGTTTTCTGCTGAGAAGAACCGGCTAGAAACTCAACAGTTGCTCTTTTAAAATAATAATTGTGTACAATATTTTAATACAATAATTATCTATTTATCCTACGTGAGAGATGATCATGTGATTATATGTAATACATACAGATTATGATTTGATAAATCGTTCGCGCAATTAATTTTAAATAATATATGCATTACGACGTCACACTAACGTGATAGATGGCGTTACTTATTCATTTTAAATTACCATTTGTTATTTATTATTTAATTTAAAAAATTATTAATAAAAAAATAAATAAATGTGGCACTCGGAGACTGCCGCGGTAAAGCTATTGCATAGCATTTTTTATCAACTTATGCAATTATAATTATTTATTTATTTTATTAATGCAGTATTTTTTTTCCTTGACTTTCTTCATTAATAAATGCACTTTGTTTATTCATATTTAAAACACTTTGTACACAAATTATACGAGTACAGATATTCACTGTTGTACATAGATGATAAAATGACCTATACACCTATATACTTTCTCACAAACAGCTGATTACGGTAGTTTTCCAATACAACCAATGCCACCTAAAGGCGGGTTGCTGAACTAAAGAGACAAGCGTGATATTTCAAAAAGTCATTAAAACTTCAGGTATTTATCGATAGATGGAAAAACTAAAAAGTATTACCGCTGTGCCGGTCGGAGTGAGGGGTGTCAGGTTTTTTCGTTACGGAATTTCTGGATTCGGTCCCCACGCTCAAGGCCCGCGATAGAAGCTATGCAATAGCTTAAAAATATTGATAGTAAAGTTTTTAAAAATTATATAGATTTATAAATAATTAAAATTTACGGGTTCTGGATATCATATAACTCTCTAAAAGAAAAGGTTTGTTGATCGTATTCGTGCATTATTCCACAGAAAACAACGCGACGTCAACGTTATACCGTACGCAATACGACTTCGATGCGATGCTCTACGAGTATGTTATCGGGTATCAAAAGTAACGAGTAACGATTCAAAAGTAACGAGTAACGATTCAAAAGTAACGAGTACTGATGCTATAGTAACGAATGCATACGATTACGATATTTTTCGTTACTTTTACACCTTGATAGTTTGCGCATCTCTGGTTGTCAGTTCTGTAGGATCCATCCTTGTGGTTGTCTAAGTTTTTGTAGGGTTTTCGTTCGATGTCGTAACGGTCGTTTCGTTGGTCGTTTGAGTTTAGCTGAATTAATTTTGTACGAGCTACGAACTTGTACAATTCAACTTATTTTATTTTTTGGACTTCAAACGACCAACGACCTTTACGACGAAAACCTACAAAACCTTAGATAACCGCAAGGTTGATCCTACAGAACTAACAACCCTAACCTAAGGACGTTAGTATCGGAGCTTACATATATGCATCAAAACGTAATGCTTGCGCGATGTAGTACTACTAACGCCATCTATTGTTGAATGAACTAAACTAAACAACTCGAACAGTATTTCTTTTTATTTACTTTGCTATAGACATGCATTTACACATATCACACCTACGATTTACCCTTGCTTCACTCAGATTTGTCCCAAATTTTTTTTTGTGATGTAAGTAACAAACAAATAAACGGCCGTATGTTTTAATTGCGTTGACTTAGAAATTTAATTTTTTCACAGGTCGAGAACGTTAGAGACCTGAGTATTTGATATTAATTTGAACTTGAAACCTCCACGAGTTCATGAGAAAAAAAAAATCTTAACAAACAAACATACAGACAGACAATGAAGTGATCCCATAACGGCCCCTTTTTCCTTTTGAAGTACGGAACCCTAAAAACGACTAAATATTTACACTTCTATATTATACCTTATAACTTTGCGAGCAATGAAGAACACGTCGTCCACGAGGCTGGAGGTGGCGGCGCCGGTCGACATCTTCAGCGCTTTGTTTACGCTCTCTTCTAAGAAAAACCTGTGCAAATATAAAATATACTTATTTGATAAAATTCTTAAATTCCAGACAACGCATGAATAGCATTTACGCATACTATCTGTACACATACCACGACAAGATGATATGATATATTAACAATTTCTAAATCTCCTCCTTTATGGGGTAACTTTTAAAATTAGAAATATAGATAGATGAGGGTTAATCCTCTGCTTATTTATATCGTACTGCTATAAAATCCTTTGGGAATATATAATATATCTAGTATTCGCAATAAAAAATGAAACCAAAAATAACTACAAAACAGCTTAAACTCAATACAACGTAACGTCTTATCAACACTTAAGTTAACAATATGGTTAAATATCTACCAGTAACCAATTAATTGAAAAAATATTTATTTTGTTAGGTTTCATACGGTCGATATTCATCATTTGGTTTGGCTTTTAAATAAATAATAACATACCTCTCGAGCGTCAGATACTGGCTAAGTACATCTTGAGCAGTCCGTGTCAAGTCACAATTGGAGATGATTTTCTCTATAGCTTCTAAGCATGACGCTTTTGCAGCTTCATCTTCTTTATACATCTAAAAATATACAAACAAGTTTTTTGTTTGACTTTTAAGGCTTATTTTCATAATAGTTTAAAATGGTAGTCGGACTCTTCCTAGTAACAAGGCGAGGATGTTAAAAGGTATAAATAAACAGAATAAGTAATATATACTATACATATAATAAAATTGTAATTGACCGCTTGTACATGGAAGATATTTAAGAAAAACGATTACCGGAGGTCTTTATTAAAGCAATAGAACTCAAACAAATGATGTGTGAAAATTTGTCTGTTTGTGCGTTTGTACGCGCTAATCTCAGAAACGGCTTAACCGATTCGGATGTGGTTTTGTGGTAAACTTCAGTTAACATTTAGTATTAGTTTTATTTCAATCGAATCACAAATATAAAAGTTATGTCAATTTAAGGAATCACCTAGAAGAAGAAGCGAGGGTAACTCACTGGTTTAAGGATATATACATACAAGCTCGGGTCTTCGTCGCAGGAAGGTGAAGTAGAGGTGCAGCCGCTGGTGCGCCAGCGCGAGCTCGTGCAGGGCGGGCTCGGCCGCCAGCGCGTCGCCCGCGCCCGCGCCGCCCGCCGCCCGCGCCCGCGCCCGCCCTCGCCGCCAGCAGCTGCGTGCACACGCGCCGCGCGCTCGCACACACCTGTCGGCCGGCGCGTTCTCTTTTATATTTGATTCTCTTTGTGTTTACAATTATTGATATACATTTTTTTTAATTTAATGTAGACACATCAGGTTTTTCAAGTGAACTAGGCAATTTGCAATTAAATTACAAAAAATTCTAAAAAAATGTGGTGGCACTTCATACATGTAAATGAGGGGTGGAAAAAAATTATATATGTATACACTTTTAATTTTTTTATATATACATTTTATTTAATTATTATATCTCTCTTTATTTTTTAAACATTACAATACTTAACTTATCAAAAATATAATGCTTTATATTATAATACTAGTGATTGCTAGTGGCTTTGCTCGCGTACTTTAAAAATAACAGATTTTTATATACATTTTCAACTCCTGATTTATCTCTTCTGGGATGAATATCGAATTATCCCTTCTTCTCACTTCCCATTCCATCTACATACCAAATTCTCAAATTATACACTAAATAAGTATAAGTAAATACTTATACTTACTGCTAAATAGCAGTAAGTGATATTTAGTTTTTACATATAAAGACACCAACCGTGGGCTGCAGCGCGGCGAGCGCGCGCGGCAGCAGCGCGGGCGGCGGCGCGGCCGGCAGCGCGGCGCGCAGGCGCTCCACGCGCGCCGCCGCCGCCTCCAGCACGCGCGTCAGCGCGTCCGCGTGCGCCGCCTGCGCCCCCGCCGCCCCCTGCGCCGCCGCCCCGCCGCGCGCGCGCCGCACGCTCGTCTCCAGCTGCGAGTGTACAAACGTTTTGGTGTCTTATAAACTCCACTTCGGCTAGGAACTACTTCAAATATATCTGATCAGGTAGCTATTTTGAATTAAAAAAAAAACGGGGTTTTCCAGTTATGTCTTAATTTTAAGTGACTTAAAGTTATTTTACATTTTTGTTTGAAAGGTTTTTAATATACTAGTTATTGTAATAGTGTAATATATTATGTAACTAAAATTATAAAATACCATATTATGATATCTGGCTCGAAGGATCATCATTTAATTATAGATTTTTATTAATTACGGAAATATTTTAATAAAAGCTGTTATGTCAGGTATATTTATATGATTAGTGACAAGTATAAGTTTATATTATAACTATATTAGAATGCTCCTTATTATTAGTTATGACACTAATTAAGTTGTATAGTGAAACAGCAAATAAATTAAAAAAATTAAGTTACAAGTACCTGAGAAGCAAGATATTTAGCGAATAGATCGACGCCTTCCTCAGCTCGACCTATCTGCGGGAAGAGCTTAAACAGACGTTCCACCGCCGTATCATCTTCATTTTTCGCAGCTTCCTCAAATCTATAAATATAAAAATATATTAAATACAAAACAAGTTTTCCATAAAATTGTGTAAAGCTTCACTCGCGATTCATAACAATGAAACTCATTAAAATCAGTTAAACACAGATTTCTTACTTCCGCACAAGATGATCTCGCAGGGTCTTAGCTGCAGCATCCATGTCTTGTCGCGGGTCGGGCGCCCCGCGGGCTCTAGCCGCGGCTACTGAACCTGGCTCCATACTTAGGAAACGAGCTACATGGCCCGCGGCTGGAATTTTTTTATTTAAAATTCACTTTAGAAAAGCTTACGATCAACTTTAATGGGTTTCACATTTTTTATATGATTACTATTTGCTTATACAGTGAAGGAACACAATGTGGGGGAAACCTGCATGCATTAGAGAAAATAAATAGATTTTAAAGGATATGATGTGGTGGACTATAGCTTGATCACTTTCAAACTGAAAGGTTGAGGAGAATGTCAACTTCACACACGGAAATTGACAATTAAGTCAAGTTTCATTTCTGTATGTGGCCTTATTTAGATACAAATTTTAACTTTTGATAATGACAAAAGGGGTAGAGTTTAAAAACACAGGACTAGAGGCTTCATGTTCTCTATGCGAGGCTCTGGGGTGTAACACTATAACTAAACTTGGCCTGAGCTGACTTGAATCCAGGACCTTCAGATCTGTATAGCATGATATGCTAGCTACTAGACTAATATAGTTCATTAGATATTACTAATATTCATAACAAACCTGTTTCATAATCATGTGCCTTGATAGCTGTCTCTACTCCTGCACTACAAACTCTAAGATCTATCAAGTCATGTACTCTTCTTTGGCATTCTGCTACTCTGGACTGAAAATATAGAAGTGATACATTTTTATAGTAAGTAAAATAATGATTTCGACAACATGTTTGGCTCAGTCTATAGTGACCCTACTTATTGTGAATCCCTTGGTAACCATATATTTTTCCAGGATAAAAAGTAACCTATGTGTGTTATTCAATTTCGGACTATAATCTATCTCTGTACCAAATTTCAATCAAATCCATTCACCCGTTCTGGCATGAAAGAGTAACAAACATATGTAAGGACATACAAACTTTCACATTTATAATACCTAAACAGACATATTTAAAGTAATATAATATGTGTACTGTATCAACTATCTGGTATCCATAACACAAGCCTTGTAGCTTTACTATACAACATTTCCTGTCTACCCTTCAAGTAAAGCTATATACTTTTAATTCTAAAACAACATTGAAAAAGAATCCAATTTGAGATGTAAATTAAAAAATAAAATTAGGTTTCTTACTCTTGCTAAATCTAACTGCCGAACTTTAGCACTAACATCCTTTGCTAACATTGCCGTCTTATCGACCATACCAGCAGCCACTTCTGCATCACTTCTAACTTCACCTAACTTAGTATATGCTTGGCTGGCAGTGCGCAGCCGACCTTCTAGGGTACATGCTCGAGACAATACATTGGACAGCGCTTCATTTACTTCACACTGTAAAATAATAATACAAATATTTCAAAATATTACAAGAATGAACACGTCAACTATGCTTGAAATATTTCAATTTTTAACTAAAATCCAATTACTTCTTCTTTTTCAATTTCATTCAATGCCTTTTGGAGTCCTTCTTCAGTCGATACATCATATTTCTCTAATAAAAGCGCTAATGACATTATTTTACAATGATTATCTCGTATAAAACACAATTATTTTTAATGAAGATTGAAGAAGCTATTGGTTTTATATTTTTACAAAATTGACATTTGAGTTTTGACAGTAACATTGACAAATGAGATCTCAATTGACACTTGGATGTCAGTTCAGCTGGAGCCTGAAACTTGGAGCTCTGGAAATGGTAATGAATGGTAAAGAAAAAATGTTCTTATATAATAATGATTAATCTTTTTATTTATATGTTTGTATAAAATAAAAACTCATCATACTCATAGGAATTCATCTCATTCATCAAGAAGAGAGATTTCTGTTAGAAGTAACAAAATATGACTTGTTTTGCAATATCGCCTTTCTATTTCGCAAAACCTATGTGGTAATCGTCGTCATTTAAAGTGGCAACACAAGTTTGACGTTTCGTCTAAAAGTGCGTTCCGAAGTTTAATACTCTTGAAAAAATATATTAAATTAAAAATTCTATAGTGATTTTGAATTTATTATCCCCACAAATCATGAGCCGACGCGCCGTTAATTATATTATCGTATAAAAACATATACTTTTGGAATTCAATCTGATGAATTAATTGTAATATTTACTGTCACAATTGATTGTAGAAGTACAAAAACTTTCAGAATGTACTTTTAAAAAAAGTGGTAAAGAAGATGTCTAAACTAGTGTAACAGTAAACATAAAAATTTCTTGTGATTGGAAAATCGATGCATCGATAAATATCTCTCACATTTACCTCAGGGCGCGTACTAGAGTTTTGCGCTCCTCTGAGGCTCGTTTTGGTTTTATAGTGCACAAAAATCCTCAAAGGTAAGAGGGGCAGGGAGCATTGACATTCGCATAAATTATCGAGTGGTAACAAATGTGTTATTGTATATATGAATAAAAAACAGTATAGTTCTTATGTCTCCTAGTGCTCCTTGTATTGTATTGTTTCTTCTGGTTTTTGTGAAATTAACTAAAGTCGAAGTAAACAAGTAATAGTGATTGCAAAAGTTTAGTTTGCAACTAAAGTTAGATGCTGGTTACAGATTGACTCCGTGTGGGGCTGGGCTTCGCCCCCGCTGCGCTTGCAGCTGGGAAACGCGCGCGGACATAAGAGGTATAACTGATTCAATTTTTTTTATTTCTACATTAAATTTTAATATACATTAGAGCACATGACTGAAGGAGATTGCTTACTAAATAATTATATTTGTATTTTATTGTCAAAATATTTTCAAATATATGAAGGCATATTTTATATATTACATAGGCTATTTATTTAAACAGTCTTCAAATTATGAGACCTATACAATATGCTATGTTTAATTAAGCAACAATATCCTCAAGGAAAGTGAGTGTTCAAGTTATAAAAAATTGCAAGGCTATTTAAAAAGTGACTATAACTAAATATACTAAAGTTCTGTATTATATAAAAATGTTAAACATAGTAATAATAATTGATTACTTCCAATCATTAACTAGCATTATATCATGTATGTGTTGAATATTTCCTCCTTCTAGTCAGTATGTTTGTTCTTTTGAATATGAAGGAATGATTTAGATGACGATTGATTAATATATTATGGACTTAATCAATACATATATTACTTCAAATAAATATGAGGTAAGTAAAAAATGAAAAAAAAGATATATCTATTGTTAATAAAATAAATGAAATGTTGTCTATACTATTGAAATTATCAACAACTAGCGACTCACCGTCGCTTCGGTCAGGTTCGTCCCTAGGTTGATTCAACATATAAAAATTCATCCCCATTTTCACCCCCTTAGGATGAAAAGTGTTCTATAGCCTTCCCAGAGTCTCAAACTATTTTCTTACCTTTCATCTAAATTGGTTCAGTAGATCCAGAGATTACCCCTACAACCTCACAAACTCACAAACTTTATCTGTTTATAATAGTAGTTTAAATGAAAAAAAACAACAAAACATACTAATCACAACTGTGACATATAGTTATAATCAAATGCAATGATTACAAAGTCTATTATGTTAGATTCTACTGTCTGTAATCTCGTTTTATATATATTAAGTAAATATACATGCATATTAGTATATTACACACTCATTTAGTTTTGTTTTTGATGAATTTGTACATAATAACATTTTATATATAATTTTGGAATTTTGGTTATTATTATTATACTATTTGCATATTTGTATACATTTCGTAATCAAATATGTAATGAAATGACATAACTTTATAATTTTTATTTTATAATATATATAGAATATTTTCATTTAACATGAATATATTACAAATGTAGGACATATTAGTTACATTGTAATAGATGTCAAGAAATTAGAAATGTGTCAAGGCAGGCTTAAAATATAGTGAAGATAACAAACTCAATTAATGGCACAGCTAGTGCATACATCTGTTTATTTTAAATCCATCTACCATTTGGCATAGAGGTAGAGTGTCTGTTCACTATTGGAAGGCTACAAGGTTGATGCCTGTGCACAATAAATCTTTTTTTTTCATCTAGCTAGTAGACATAAAAAAATCTTTTGACAAGTAGTTAAAATCTCAAAGTACAAGACCTAGGGTTGAACTGGTTCACTTGGTTATCCAAACTACGAATGGGCCCCCACTCACACCAGAAAAAGGCAGATAATGTACTGCAAGTATAATACTTTCTTAGATTCACGCGAATATTTGACATTTTAAATAAATCTATCTTTTCGGATTATTTCACATATTTATTTTGATTTTTGGTTCCCAACCTTTCAAATGCTTTACAGCAATCATGGTCACGGTAGAGACTAAAGTTTTAGACGTCTCAGAGGCGTTATACACTTGTTACAAAAAGTGCACTGTCAAAAGATGTCGAAAAGATAGTTTTATTTAAAAAGTACTATAAGTATAATAAATGTATACATTCGTTTATCCAGGATGGGGGAGGGCGGGTCCCCGGGCGGCGGCGGGGGCGCGCGGCTGTCGCACACGTCGGAGAAGCACCCGCGCGCCATCCTCGGCGAGCTGTCCGCGCTGCGCCGCCACAGGGAGCTCTGTGATGTCGTGCTTAACGTAGCTAATAGGAAATTATTTGCACATAGGCATGTTTCATCTCTTTTTTTTTAATCCAAAGCCAGGGTATTGGGTAGGAGGGAATCTTCTAAAGATATCAAATGAAACAATTAAATCAATAAAAATTAATTTTAATTAAATAGACTGTAGTATCGTCAACTTTATGTCATTATCTAAGTCCGTGAGGAATCTACCGCCGGCTACCGACTTGGGAGATGTAATGTGTAATGTGTAGTGGACTCGTTTTCCGCACTTAGACTCCCTTCTGGTCCGTTGTGCGTGCGAATCCTGGCTATATTAGCCAGCCGAGCTCCGCCCAGAAGCTTGGACTTGGAATTGGGAGATGGTTTGATTATGTAGCATATTTTCGTATTAAAACCTCTTCGGTTACAATCTACTGCGAATTACTGAAGACACCAGGAAAGTTAGTTTAAGATGAAAATTCTATTTTTAACGTAAATGTTGATGTTTTACACTATCCCATTATCCAACCAGTGATCGGATTGGGATATTCATATAATTCTATAATATTATATAATTAGCGAACGTTTTAACGATTAGTACGTAGTATACATTTCTCAGAGATAAGATATTTTCTCGCAGTAAAAAGCATTCCAATATGTTGACCGGGACAAACAGCTATCATCATACCATATTTCATCAAAACCTGTCCAGTGGTTTTCTCGTGATGCGTTCCCATACAGACAGACACGATAAACGAAAATTCTAAAAACTATAGATTCGGCCTCTGTATTGATAATAATGTCTATTTCAATAAGATTTTTCTAAAAAAATATTTAATGTACAGATTCGACTCAGATAGAATTTTATTATACGATTATGTATATATCGAAGCAGCATTAATTTTCTCTATTATTTTCCATTATTTTATCATGACTTATACAGTGGGCGTTATATGGGAAGTGTTGGTTTAAATGAAAGTCGATGCAATCACAGTTGTATTTCAAATTAACAATAATCACTTTGTACATAGTTAAACAGCACTTCACTACACAGCCATATACCACTTCACTATTACCAAGTATAGACAATACGGAACGCAAGACAGTTCCTAGTGGAGCGGTCCTAAGCTTGGCTCGGCTCGAAGGCAAGTGTCCAGCCCTCTTAGCATCCCTCCCTTAGCTAGGCTCCGTCGTAGTACGAAGCTCGCCGAGTGTTGGCTATAATACCGAAGGTGCTGCCATCACTCAGGCGTCGTGCCGCGCTTCGTTTAGCGACCGTATTGATGACCGTCTCCGACACGGCCATCCTGCGTGCACACGCCCTCGTGTGTTAGCCGTGTGTTAGCCTGCAACCAAATATTCAACGAAAATACTTGCTCGACTCGGTCAATCCTGACCAGATAAAACTTAACTTTGAATCTGAATCATCTTTATTCTAACGAAAAGCTTTAACGCTAACACCTTTGTTTTTTTTTTTAAACTCCAAGTCACTAACTATCTCTAATCTAACTAATAACATTAGTTATCCAGAGCCATGTACCAACATCATTCAACACTTCAATCAAACTAATTTTCAAATTTACTAGCACCTCTGTAAACCACTCTTAGGCCACGGCCTTACAAGCCAACCAGCAATCACAATTGCTCCACAATCCAGGTGCATCCACTACGGGATCACCGTATGTATCATCCTCTCGATGACTACACACTATGGTCATAACAGACCCCGACCTCCGCCAGAACTAAACGCACATCACACACCCACGGTCTATATAGTTTGAGCTTCCTCAAAAGACCGACTTTTACTAGGCTATGACTACGTAATAGTTACTAGTACGGCCGACACATCCACTACAGGATCATCGTATCACCCTCTCGGTGACTACACACTATGGTCATAACAGACCCCGACCTCCGCCAGAACTAAACGCACATCACACACCCACGGTCTATTTAGTTAGAGCTTCCTCAAAAGACCGACTTTTACCAGGCTATGACTACGTAATAGTTACTAGTACGGTCGACACTACTACGGCCGTCAGAATGCTTACATCGGTTTCCATCGACTTCATTAAAACATTTGCTTCGCATGATGATCATTATTTACATCAACCTCTATTGGTACATGACCTACTAGAATTTTTGTGTAAAGAATTTATAGCAGTCATGTTAATAAAAAAACCTTTCAATATCTCATGTTCTATCATGATACCATTTTGTAACTAATAATTAGGCAAAACATAATATTTCAAAAGATATCAAGAGAATGGCCGTTAATCGTTACAAAACAAAATTTACTCTGTGCGGAATATTCCGTTTTGATCAATACTAGAAATTGCAAGGACAAAATCGTTAACCACACAATTTGACTGCTAAATGTTATCTTACTAACGAATATTCAGCACCATGATTATAACAAAAGCAATACAGATTACCTCTATGCCATTGAGCATTCGAAGATGGTTGTACAACACATACATCCACGCGTCGTTCCGTTCGTGTTGCACCCATATTGCTGCCGTCCACTTGACTGGCACTACTTATGCACCGGAGCGTGATGTGACCAGGCTTGCCACATTTGAAGCACACCAGAGACTTCACTGCAGGCTGCAATGCCGTTGCTGTCATCGAAGGTCGTTCCACGCTGTCATTTACCTTGCTTCTACACTCTGACCGCTTATGACTCACTTTTCTGCACTTATAACATTTTTACATTAGCTTGGCTCGTTTAGCATCAGGCACTTTTGAAAAATCATCAGATAAACTAGCTTTGCGTTTCAAATGTGAGAATCGATCTCGCGAAGCAATTTTCGTAGTAAAGCCAATCGTTGTAATTTCGAATTAAACTGACATAAGTGAGCAAGGACAGTCGCAATTGCTATCTGATTCTTGCTAGCGTCTTTCCAACGATTAGTCTGTGACGTCATCAGGCGATTTGCGTACGTAACGAGTTTCTTTTTTCATTTGGTTTGTAACTGTTAAAATTAATTAGCATACCAGCCAATGTCTCGGTGGAAATAAATCTCGCCTTGAAAATCACCTTGAACTCTTCCTATGTTATTCTCTGGTATACAAATTGTGATAGCCACGTCGACCCTTATCCTTTTAATTCCTTACTGACTTAAAATAAGCTAGCCGCCGTATGGAGGGTATTCGGAAAAACACAAATCTACAGTCGCAAATCAAGATCTTGCGTCCGTATCCATATTGTCAGGGTCAAACTCGCGTAACTTGACGTTCTTCTTCATCTGAGGCATTTGCAAGGCCTCGATAAGAGATCACATAATGACATTTTGTTGTTCAAACATTGCACGTCATTGTTCACTCAGAGTTAGTTCTTTTTGCAATTGAACCAACACTGATCCCGCTTCTGATATAGAAGCAACATTAATTTTCTCTATTATTTTCCATTATTTTATCATGAATTATACAGTGGGCGTTATATGGGAAGTGTTGGTTCAAATGAAAGTCGATGCAATCACAGTTGTATTTCAAATTAACAATAATCACTTTGTACATAGTTAAACAGCACTTCACTACACAGCCATATACCACTTCACTATTACCAAGTATAGACAATACGGAACGCAAGACAGTTCCTAGTGGAGCGGTCCTAAGCTTGGCTCGGCTCGAAGGCAAGTGTCCAGCCCTCTTAGCATCCCTCCCTTAGCTAGGCTCCGTCGTAGTACGAAGCTCGCCGAGTGTTGGCTATAATACCGAAGGTGCTGCCATCACTCAGGCGTCGTGCCGCGCTTCGTTTAGCGACCGTATTGATGACCGTCTCCGACATATAGATAACACTTTGGATATTTATTATCTCGGTATTACGTTGCCGTTGGATAGTAGTTCAGTTACACCTAACCTTAGTTTAACATCAAAGCAAGATGCTCTTGAGCATTGAAAGCATTAGAAAAAAAAAGAAATTATGACGGTGGATAGAATCTTTGCTTTATTTGAATTTACTTAACGACTAACATCGTCGTGTCGAGTGGTCGTCCCACGAGAGTATGGGAGTGATAGGAATAGAGAGTGCACGTTGTGTCTGCGAGTACACTTGAGCACTATAATATCTCCTGCGCAGTTGGCTAGTCTCAATGAGATTGGCCGCCGTAGCCGGAATCGGCTAGGAGAACATCATCATCACTAACATTTTTATTCAGAAAACAAGAAATATATTTATTTATGTACAAATCTGAGCTCAAACTTTAAGAAGTGCAATATCATCAAAGAATACGTTTCTTTAAAAGAACAGTTATTAGGTTTTTTATACAAAGGAAGTTTGATTGTAGTTTTTTTTCAATACAATATGAAATGCTGGAAAGTTATCAGATGATAACAATTGTTGAGAAGCCAGTTGCAAATGAGAGCAACACGTCCCGCTGTGGGTTTCCGTTCTTTTTGTAAATACGCTTTGTTTCATATTAATTGTTGAATAATCTAAAAAAAATGTATATCAAATGTTATAAGTGCGGGTTTTATATATACGGAATAACTCTTATTTTAATCATGAAATTTGATTTTACCACAAAAAAGGTTGTAAAAGTAGTATGTAGTCGAATTAAGTACCTTCTACTTTTTTTGAAGTTGGTTAAAAATCAACAACCACTTTTGACGAACAGTTTACTAAGACAGAGATTTACACAATCATTGCGGTAAAGATATCGCGTATAGCGGCTCAACGTTGCTTCGCTTCGTGTTCGTCCTAGGCAAAAACAAATCTATCCCACGGGAACCGTATATTTTTCCGGGATGATATATAGCATACAGATTTCCTCAATAAACGGGCTATCTAATGCAATAAGAATTTTTCAAATCCGATTAGTAGTTCCTGAGATTAGCGCGTTGAAACAAACAAACTCTGTCTCTTTATAATATTAGTATAGATGCTACACATGAAAATTTAATCAAAGCGAAATATGCTAATTTTTTTAATGACATAAATGGGAAGCAAAGTGATTGTTGTGTATTTGCCTAAATAATTCATTTTGAAAATACAATATTGTTTGGAATGCTAGTGCATATTTTGTTTAGTGGAACAATGCGAGGTTACAAATATCTTTGAGGAAATATTGTAATTTATTCATTTAACGCTACATTTACCCACTTTTATGTGATGGTAATTAAATAATCATATATATATTAGCATAATTTTTAATACTTTGATGTAACGATATTATAATAATGCATGTAATATAATTACAACATCTAATATCTTGGAATTTATGATGTCAATATGGGTTATATAATGTTTTCGAGTTATCTTTTTATTTGTAGACTAATTTAAAAAAAAATGTGAGACCCTACAATTTTGGTACAACGTTGAGAAAAATTACATGTTTCTTTATGTTATATAACTACCGCAAGAAGTACTTTTAAAATTAAATTCGAGGTTTCTTTAATTATATTGTACGATTGTGATTGTTAATTTATTCATTTTTTTTTTCATTACAAGGTGAAACTTCACTCTACTCGTGCAATTTTACTACAATATTAATGTAACAATGCTAGTTACATAAATTTATCATTTGTTTGTCGTACTGCCTACATAAATATAAGTCACATCGTGATCTGTGTTTGTTTGTATGTATGTATGTTTGTTTGTTTGTTACTCCTTGACGCTGTAACGGCTGGACGGATTTGGATGAAATTCAGTACACAGATAGTCTATGACCGGGAGTAAAATATAGGCTACTTTTTGTAGTCGGTGAATTGTGATGGTCATAATACGGTGCCTGCCCAGGGTGATACTGTCAGCATGCAGCCCGTACTTCCGCGCGATGTTCACGGGCGAGCTGGCGGAGTCGCGCGCCACCGAGGTGACGATACGCGACGTGGACGAGCACGCCATGGAGCAGCTCGTGGAGTTCTGCTACACCGCTCACATCGTGGTCGAGGAGAGCAATGTACAGGTGTGGAATGAACTGAAATAAAATTTTATTCAATTAGACTTAATATAAGCACTTTTGAATCGTCAATTTAATTTAAAGAGCGTCAGTGTAGTCAGTCCGTGAGGAAGCTACCACCGGCTCGAAAAGCAGTTCTGCTGAGAAGAGCCGGCGAGAAACTCAACAGTTGCTCTTTTATATATCGAAGTTACATTCTATGTTGTAGTTTCAAATAAAACTATTTCATCAAATAGATATTTGTATGCCCATTGACATTTGAATTTTAGTTTTTGTTTTTTTAATTTGAATGTCAGGCTTAGAAGTTAGTTCGATTGAAATGAACCCGAGGAAATCTCAACATTTTAAAAGTAATATTTTTGTTTACATTATTAGTATACAATAATTTTGTGCTTATTTTATGTGAGTTTCTATTACAATTTTAATCACATTTATGTCTGTGAAATGTTCTGTGACAGAGTCCATACAATTGACTTGATTCAGATTTGAACTGTCCAAGTTTCTTTATTGAAATATATGTTCTCTTGCAGTATATACACCAATAGTTCATTTATATTCCTAAACCGGATGCAAATGTAGCGCAAAAAATTGTTATGGTCGATAAAATTACACATAGTCATATTAATTGTAAACCTGACTAAATTAACAAAACTATTGACAGACGTATCTACTATTAGTTATTTTTATGTCGTAGTATTTTCTAAATGCATAAAATAGATAAAGGCTAAGAGGCTGCAAATCTTGATAGTTTATTTTGATCAAAATATACACTGAAACGAAAAGTAAACGAAATATTACAACGCTGCATATATTATCCGCCAGGCCCTACTCCCGGCAGCCTGCCTCCTGCAGCTGCAGGAGATCCAGGACGTGTGCTGCGAGTTCCTCAAGCGGCAGCTGGACTGCTCCAACTGCCTCGGCATCCGCGCCTTCGCCGACACACACTCCTGCCGGGAACTGCTCCGCATCGCCGATAAGTTCACACAGCAGAACTTTCCAGAGGTTTGCCGGATTATCAACTTATTTAATGTCATATTTGGTGTGAATTATCGTTAAGGAAATTGGTATAGTACCACTTTACAACAGGTTGTAGGTCTAATTTAGGTCAAAGTGTAAAATTAAAAAATATAACCCATTTCAATTCATCACATAATAACTTGCAGTCAAGTAAATACAATTTAGAATTGATTTCTACTTTAATTTTGTATAGAATTTAGAATAATAATATAATAGTTAAATAATAATCTATTTGTTTGTTTTTATTGTTAAACATATATGGTGTGTTTAATTGAAACATAATGTTCAAAAAGAATTATAATATTATACATGCAATATCTCAAGTACTGAAAGACAAACCACAAATATCCCAAGTGTAGCATGTGTGCGTGTGGTTGTGCAGGTGATGGAGAGCGAGGAGTTCCTGCTGCTGCCGGCGGCGCAGCTCATCGACATCGTGTCCTCGGATGAGCTCAACGTGCGCTCCGAGGAGCAGACCTTCCAGGCAGTCATGTCCTGGGTCAAGTACAACGTGGCCGAGCGCCGGCAGCACCTGGCGCAGGTGACCCTCTACGTCTGGGATAAATTATTATCCTTAATGCGACAGATATGTACAATTAAAAAAGATAGAAGGCTCGACAAATATAATTGTACGTTATATTTTTACATTTGGTCCTTCGAGTCGGATTAGATATTGTTATGGTATGTGTTTTTGTTAATAATCGAAATAGATTGTTTTCTTAAACATATGTCATAGATAACGAATATTCCTTAATAAGCATTAGACAAATTGTATACAATTGAGTTTATTTAATTATTTTTTTTCATATATTGCATTCCAGGTCCTCCAACACGTGCGCCTCCCCCTTCTCAGCCCTAAGTTCCTGGTGGGGACGGTCTCGTCAGAGCTGCTCATACGCTCAGACGACGCGTGTCGAGACTTACTAGACGAAGCTAAAAACTATCTGCTTTTGCCCCAAGAGAGGCCCCTCATGCAGGGCCCCAGAACGAGACCGAGAAAGCCCACGAGAAGAGGTATTTGTTTCTATTTTGACTTTAGTAATTTCCTTGTAGAGTTGCTTGAAAAGAATGATATATTGCTTTATAGTGCAATAGGATGTACGAGCTATGTCGATCTCATGATGTTTAGTTGCACGTATGACTGTTTTTGTGGGTTCCCCTAAGTTGGGGTCAAAACAGTTACTGGGCTATTCGTTTTTTTCCTGTGTACGAAAACGCTATATCTTAATACATAGTCATTGCACTATAAAATGTCCCGCGTATGTGTGTCGCAGGCGAGGTGCTGTTCGCGGTGGGCGGGTGGTGCAGCGGCGACGCCATCGCGTCGGTGGAGCGCTTCGACCCGCAGACGGCGGAGTGGAAGATGGTGGCGCCCATGTCGAAGCGGCGCTGCGGCGTGGGCGTGGCCGTGCTGCACGAGCTGCTGTACGCCGTGGGCGGCCACGACGGCCAGAGCTACCTCAACAGCATCGAGCGCTACGACCCGCAGACCAACCAGTGGTGCGGCGCCGTGGCGCCCACCAGCTCGTGCCGCACCAGCGTGGGCGTGGCCGTGCTGGACGGCGCGCTGTACGCCGTGGGCGGCCAGGACGGCGTGCAGTGCCTCAACCACGTCGAGCGCTACGACCCCAAGGAGAACAGGTGGACCAAGGTGGGTCACCTCGCGTTTCGTTTTATTTATTTTTTCATCGTATTTTTTTGTATTTCCTAATATGAAATTTCGTGTGCGGATGAGACATAAAGTTTAATTTATTTTTCGCCCCTCACACCAATTTGAAACGAAATAGTAAGCACTGAATGTACGTATAATTATAATATAGGTACGTAAAAATGCCCCGTGATACTGTAAGAAAAGGAGACGATTGATAATCTACTGTTTACGATTGATAATCTATCTTTATAATTTTAAGTATTTTTTTAAGTCGGTATTTTTTTTTTTAAATTACTTTTTTATTTTTAATAATTTAATTATATAATATGTATATTGATTGGATTTATATAAAATAAATTGTGTAATGATTTTCCAGGTGGCGGCGATGACGACGCGGCGGCTGGGCGTGGCCGTGGCGGTGCTGGGCGGGCACCTGTACGCCGTGGGCGGCTCCGATGGACAATCGCCTCTCAACACGGTACGGGGGACGGGGTTTTTATTAAATAAAAGTGTTTTTTTTTTTATATAATTTGTTATTTGCTTGAAATAATTGGTTCGTCGATTGTAGATTTTTTATTCCCTAAGAAAAACCTATTTTTTTGGTTGTTTGAAGATGATGTAAAGTCTGTGTAACAATAGTTAATATTTTATTGTAACTATAACACAGCTTTATTATTGTTTTATTTGTATTGTTTTATATAACGGTTTCATAATTCTCTATATAGTTTCACATATTTGAGAGATATTTGGAAAAGACATAATTTATATCATGAATTAATACATAGTTTTTATTTACTATGGTAGGTCGCAAGTAACGTTATATTAAAACGAACCGTTCCAGCATTAATAAGCAAATTAATTCTTCATAATGTTTTTTCCTAAATAAATCGCTTAATCTGTATTATGCTGTAATATCCAAGATGAGTAACATCAGTACGTGTAATACCCTAGACGTATGTATGTCTCGCAGGTGGAGCGCTACGAGCCGCGCGCCAACAAGTGGACGCCGGTGGCGCCGATGTCGACGCGCCGCAAGCACCTCGGCTGCGCCGTGTTCGACGGACAGATCTACGCCGTGGGCGGCCGCGACGACTGCACCGAGCTCTCCTCCGCCGAGCGGTACGCCGCCGCTGGTGTTGTGTATCGCACATCATCATACCGTACATCAAACTACGCGCTAGATACTTGCTAACCACTTTTGGTATTTTATAAATAAATGTTATAAAATGTGACAATTATGCACCAATTGTTATACAAACATCATGTACTCACGATCTTTAAATACATGTTGTCCAACAAATCTATTAATCGAGTTCACTTTTGAAGATGTTTGCTGATCATTGTACCTTGCAACTCGACACACGACCTTATTACAGTAGTGACATCAGCATATTTTGCAACCTTTTTCAACTGGGTGAAAAATATTGACCAAGTAAACCAGATTGATCAAATGCCAATCTTAGTATAAAATTAGTTTATTATTGACAATGAAATAGTTTTAACTACGAGTGATATCTAGGAGTTTGTTTCGTTTATCGTATCCATCTATCAAAAAAGTACAATACACAATCAGCAACAAACAATGTCCTCACCGAATGAACACTCATTTGAACATTTGACTGCGCTTTATTTTAAATTATTTTTGTGAAAGCAGCTTTAAGCATTGTATTTAAGGTTCAGGTTACATTGTTATCTGTTTATTTCAACTAGAATAATTACCTAAACACAATCGGTGACAGTTTTAAGAGAACTTTTGCAAAGGATTGTGTATCTAATTCTTTTTTGATCAGATGTGTTCTTTTTTTTGAGTAATATTATTTTTGTAATAATGAATTCGTGTGTTGCACAGGTACGAGCCGGCGACGGACTCGTGGTCGCCGGTGGTGGCGATGACGTCGCGGCGCAGCGGCGTGGGGCTCGCCGTCGTCAACGGGCAGCTCTACGCCGTCGGCGGCTTCGACGGCACCGCCTACCTCAAGTCCATAGAGGTGATGCTCACACACACACGTGTATATTGCACATGCACAAACGCAATAAAACATATGCATATAAATTCATACTAATATTGTAAGTGATGATTGTGTGATGAGTGGTTTTTTGTATGGATGTAGTTGGAGGGCTGGAGAGTGACATAGGCTACTTTTTACCGCGGAAAATCATCTAATTTCCACGGGAAAACACCTTATAATACAATCCAAAAAATATATTCTATGATCAGAATGACTCGAAACTTGGTATTAATGCTCTTCAATAAAATTAAATAAATACGTGTTTTAGCATTTTTCGAATTCATCCTATATGGGGTACGTCACAAACTCACAAACTTTACCTCTTCATAATATTAGTATAGATTATAAAGAGCTAAAGTTTGTGAGCTTGTGACGTTGTAGGGGGTTACCTTTGGATCTACTGAAACGATTTAGATGAAATTTGGTACGAAATTAGTTTGATACCCTGAGAAAGACATAGGATACTTTTTATCCCGGAAATCATCTCTTAAGGGCGTGAAAATGGGTATGAAAGATTGTATGGGCAATCAAGGTAGGGACGAACGAGCAAAACGAGGGTGAGTCGCTAGTATTAGTGTAGACAAAGTATGTATCCTTACAAAGTGTATTTATGTTATCGCATTCTCGGGCTGGTCTTACGAATCGATTGGTAGTTTTTGAAGTGAAACTTCTTTAGAATCGTTGTGATTTGAAACTCGATGCAACGGAAATGCGTCAGTAAAAAGAGACAAACATATAAATATATAGGATTAAGCCGGCGATAGAATGAGATAGAATAGATTGCGATGATGCCATGGTAACCGTTGTCATGGTAACCGTTGTTATTTGATAGAATACATTACAAAGGAAGTGAAAAATAATAAAATTCATTACTGATTGTTATGTAATGTTTATATTTATGTCAAATAAAATGTAAAATAACTTTTAAACTTGGTAAAAATAATATAAAAAAATCCTTATGATTATCCTACTCCTGATACTCTATATTCATATCATTTTCTGAAGTTTTACTTCTACGATGTGTGAATTGCACATTTATTCTATTAGCACATTTATATATCAATTATAACTTTTTTTAACTGAGCATTAATATGATGACTTATATCATATTTAATAAATTAATTAGCTATTTGATGTAATAATAATGTATTAAAAAATTGTCACTCTTAGTTAATTTAAAAATAAATAATATGTGTGTCTGTATTTTAATCTTAATAACTTATTCCGTGCAGGTGTTCGACCCGGAATCAAACCAGTGGCGGCTGTGCGGCGCCATGAACTACCGGCGGCTGGGCGGCGGCGTGGGCGTCATGCGCGCGCCGCACCACGACAACCACTACATATGGTGACTACACACTTTCTTTACTTATTGATATGGACTGAGCAGTACTCATGAAATTGACCACTATCTCGAAAGAGAGAAAGTGAACGTGCGGCCAATACCTGTCTTTTATTCCAATTCGAATTTATAAATGGAATGTGAAAATATAATATTATTGAAAAAACTTAAAAAAAAAACGACTTCCAAGCACTAAAATGTAAAAAATAACTAAACGGGGCTTTTCATTTAGAATAGATACCTAATCAGATATTTTCGAAGTCGGTGCCAGCGAATACAAAGTCGTATTGTCTCTGTCGCTTCTCTGCCATTTTCAGCTGAAGGCTGGCAAAGAAACACTCAGTCCACTCTCTATGTCTCTTACAAACAATTGTCACACTGTATAGGGTTGACTACAAAGTTACAAAAAAATAAAAAATATATTTAAAAGGACTATCAATTAGTACTATGAAAAAAACCAATATCGATTAACTTAATACTTTCTTAAATTTAGGAGAATATTTGTCATTTTTTTAAGTTTTATATTTTTTTATTGTCCGACTTTTTCGCGAGTTCATTTTGATTTTTGGTTACCAAATCTTTTAGATTAAAACTATAATATTAAATCCCATGATTATGTTTACTGTAAAACATTTGAAACGTTGAAAACAGAATATTGAAAAAAAAAACAGTGAATAATTCAAAAAAAAAGTTTTTCTAATATATCGATTAAATTTTGAAAAAAAGATAAAATATCGATTAAGCTAAGAAATTTTGATTGTTTATATTGCAGGAACCGCAAGGACTCGGTGGTGTAGCGCCGCGTCCCCCTACCAGGCTAAGTCGTTACTCATTTTATTTTATTGTTAATACTATATTATAATATTAATTGACTATTTATAAATAAATGAAAATACAAATTTAAGAATATAATATGTTTTTTATTTATTTGTTTAATTAAATATGGTGGATTTTCAAACAGATTAGTAATAAATTAATTATCTATGTAAAGTAAAATTGTAAATTTTGATATGAGATGGTTGGATTTGTTGCATTATGATTGTAATATTTGGTTACGTGCGATAATTATATAAAAAAACTACGGACCATATCGTCTTTGCTTTCTCCATATCCTGTGTTGTTAAATTTGTGCCTTTATCTAGAAATGTTTCATTTTTAGCTCTTTTAGACTAGATGGATTTTAAAAAACGGAAAGATATATAGGATACATAATATGTTATGACTCTGGTGTATAATAATATTTATAATGCTACCGACTCACCCTTACCTCGCTCGGCTCGGGTTCGTCCCTAGGTACGTTTAACGGTTAGTATAGATTTCTCAGAAATGAGATATTTTCATGCAGCAAAAAGAATCCTATATGTTGACTGATAACCAGCTATTATGATACCAAATTTCATCAAAATCTGTCCAGTGGTTTTCTCCTGAAGCACTCCCAGATAGACAGACAAAAATTCTAAAAACTGTAGATTCAGCCTCTGTATCGATAATAATGACTATTTCAATAAGATTTTCAAAAAAATATTTTATGTACAGATTCGACTCAGTTAGAATTTTATTATATGTATAGATTGATGTAATTTTTTATATTTTTCGTACCCTATTAGCTCAATATATATATTAGGTGGCAGGCGGAGGTGACGTAGCCTTGTCCACGAGAGTATCTTCTTCTTCCCCTTCATCTTCACCCTCCCCCTCCCCTTCCACATCGGCCTCCCCTTCCACTTCCCCCTCTCCCTCTCCAGAAGCACCTTCACCAGTAGCTTCAGGGTCGTCAATGATGTCCTGGTCAGTGATGCTAACGCTTTCTTCCATTGTGCCGTCTTTGTTCTCATGACGTTTTTGCTTAAAGAAATAATATATTAACAATAAAATATAATATAACTATGACGCAATATATTTGCGTCATAGTTATATTGAGGCTTATTAACATCAATCAGTCAATCAGCAATATCAATTTATATATTACTGATTGACGGATTTTGATTGAATAGTTTGATTCTCATACTGCAAATATTGGCATATAAGTCACAGGTGCACGTCCCGATCTATCTGTGTTCTCTAACTCGCAAGAGATTGCGTGAAAATAAAGCAACAATAATATTGAATTAAAAAGAATGCTAGTATCAAAAAGAAATTGACAAAAACCTTCTTCTTTTTCTTGGACTTAGGTTTCGGTTTCGCCTCTGGCTCACTGTACCCTGGTGGAAAGAATCTCTCGCACTCCTCCATACCCTTTACATTGTCCTCGCTCACGTGCAGAGGTCCGAGGGTCATCAGCTCCTCTGGGGGTCCTTCTGGGGGTATGTCTTTAGGGTCCACCAAAGCTGGTTCCACTACACCTACCGCTATCATTAGAACTATGGTTTCTGAGCTGAAAATTGTAGATTACAAAATTTCCATCATTCTTTGTCAATTTTTGTATAATAACGTAAGGATGATGAATTGATAATTTTTTTAACTTATGCGATAGAAAAAATATACGTATTTGTTTTATTAAAAAGCAAATACTATTGACATACTAATCCTTCTCCACTCGGTCTTCATACTTCTCAATGGTTTTGCAAAGCAATTTTGGCTCGTCTATGTTGGCATCAGCAAAAAAACCATAGCGTAGAATTCTGTTCGTCAGCTTTGCAGATCCAGCTATAGTTAAAACTGCTTTGCGCTGCCACGCCCCGAAGACCATGGCGATGTGGGGTGGTTCTGAGGGTGCTGCGGGTTCCACTAGTCCACCCACCATCTAAATTTTGAAAATAATGATTCTGATAATATAAATCCCGAATTAATAATGTTCTAATAAGTTTCTTCACCCTTAGGGGTGAGATGAAGTTAAACTTACGCTGTGCCTAATTTTCAATAACAAATGTTCATTTACACAAGATTCCTAAAATTTAAGGGAATTTCCAAATTATTTTAGGTAACATCTAACGAGAGTTTCATCTAACACAAGAGCAAAAAATAGTAATTAGTGTCAGTTATCTTTTTGCTATCAAAATATAGTATATATTGCCTGCACATTTATACTAATAATTTAGCATAGAATCCTTGTTATCTCTGTATTTTGCCTTTGACTATTTATTAATATTTTTTACAAATATGGTATGGTATAAAAGAAATCTATATGTGTGTTGTGTTTTAATATTTTCACTTTGATGTAAAAAACGTCCAATGCCTTATTATACTTTGCCTATATTTACGTGCAAATAAAAAAATACCTTAGGGAAGAGTAAGTCAAGTACAGACGCGCGCTGATGCCTATCAGCAGGTACAAATAAACCCGGAACGTCGTTGGCTTTTAGCTCTTCAGAAGGAATCTTTTTAGGGTCTTCAACATCCAATCCTTCACCGAAGAGAGTTCGTCGTGCTATTTCTTAGAAAAAATAAGAAAAAATATTTTTTGATCCTAAAAACTTTACTACTTCCTGTACTAATACCGCTCTTGAAGGCAAACATATCAGAAGAGTTTATTTAAAAAATTCTTTTTACTGCATGTTAGATACATAGTATGCGTAATTTAACGAAATATCAAGAAATGCATGGAAAAAAGGAATATAAATCCGATACGTACAAACGAATATTCATTTTCATTTATATAGATAGACTAACTGCTAAAGATTTGTCATTAAACAAATGCTTACCGATAATATTCCCTTCTCTATCGGGTAATTTCTTAAGTAACAAGGCGAGTGACGGCCTTTCTATCAAAGCAGCTACTGCTTCTGGGTGATTAAAATTGGGGTCTTCCATAGCGAGAATCCTTGACCCTTGCTTACCCAAAACTAATGGGCACTTATCAGCGATTATAACACCTGTAATAAAATGATGTATTTTTTTAACATATTTAACTATTGTGTAATGGTTAATAATAGCTACTATTAGGTATTCTGTTTGTGTTATGGTGGTTTAGGCTGATTTTATTGGGGTTTACACTAATGAATTTTGGTGTTCCCACTGGGTAACTGGTTCCCGGTGGGTGTCGTGCCATGTAAGTTGCTCCGGATACTTCTCTGAATAGTTGATGTGGTCTGCCTTAACAGGCCTGCCGTTGGGGCATCTTTATTAAGTGCATAAGCGATCCTGCGACACTCCATTAAGACTGGGGGAAGTTCCGTAGGGTTTTAGTGTATAGTGCTGGCCTTTCTAGCCGGTGAGTCCCACATAACCACCTTTACGTATGTACATGTGATATGCGTAAATACTTTTTCCAACATTAAAAAAAGGGTAAATAATATACTTGTTTTTAATAACATACCGTACGGTTCCAGTGCATCAGACACCTTCCTCAGATTCTTCTGTGCGTGAGGCATCATGAGTGCTGGACAGATGTCATTAAAGTGTATCTCCAATCGTTTGGCCCGCGCCTCGCGCCGCGCTGTCCGCGCTGACTCGGCCGCTGCTGCTTCTTTTTCACGTCGTTGTTGCTGCAGCTTTTCTTGAGCTAAAGCGACTTCCTGCAAAATTATACCTAATGCAATATAATGTTGCCCTAGTTGAGGCAGTGGTAGCCCAGCGGTAATGCGCACGTTTGGGAAATCGAAGTAAGCGGCTTTAAATCCTGGGTCTCGCTCTATTGATATTTTGAGGTGCGAACCTTTCCTAACATGAAAACCTCTCGTCTTACGGCAAAGGAAAACAGGAAAACATCGTGAGGTGTACCTGCATGTCTGAGATATCTAGGAAGTTTCCGAAAGACATATGAAGTCCGCCAATCCGCACTCAGCCAGCGTGTTGGACTATAGCCTGTAGTAAGGCCCGTGCTCAACAGTGGGACGTGACAAAAGAGCCCTAGATGCCCTTCGTATTTACAACATTACGGAAGTTCTCAGAAGGACGGTGTTTTCCGACTTAATTCTCAAATATCATCGTACTGGTAGAATATTTTCGCAATTTGCTTATAAACTTTGGCCTTTCATGTTCCTAGAAAATCTCGCTTTCTATTAGTGAAAACAATAATAAACACTAACCCAGCGTCACGAGGGACTTTAATTTGTAATATGTAGTTATAGATATAAGGATACTGGCGGCTGGCCTTCGTTGGTTTGCTTTTTGTTAAATAATCATTTTCTAAAATTATTTAATTGTTTTAATAATCGTGCCATATTTCTCAGCTCTCTACGTCCAGCGGATGTCTGGACATTATCAGGGGGTCAGTTAGACAGAACATACGCATAGGGAACATATCCATAGAACCCTATTTTATGACTAGATTATAAGATAAAATCTGATATAATAAATTAATTATTTACTTGTTCGGGTGGAGTCAGTTCATGCGGCGCTCGCTTCGGCCGTTCTCGCTCACCTTTCTTCACCTGCTCCTCATTTTGAAGCTCCGCAACTATTGTACGAGCGAGGCGTGGAGCATCAGCTCCAAATACAACATTTATCAGTTGCCCGCCCTAGGAATGAATAATATGGATATCTAAGTAGTAAGAATTATAATGTAAATTTAATTTTTTTGTTTTATTTTCGGCATCCTGCTGCAAGAGCAAATATCTTGAAATAGTATTTCCTGGTCACCAATTTGTTACGTTCTTCTGTTTAGAATATTTTGAAATAAACGTGTAATATTAGATGAATATACAATGTGTTAAAAAAACTTGGCTTCAAACAAACGACCTTCTTCAATCTTCAGCGACAGAAATATGCAATCGATAGATAGAGTAACCTATAAGATACATATAGAATTCATTCCTTTTCAACTTATGTTTGGTCGATATCACCCACATTCTTTTCTAGCACAATGGAGTATACCTCGGCGTTTTACATATTATGTGCGATGTAGTATATACATATTATAAAGGTACTCGTGCCTATGCCTATTTACATAATTTCTTATTATGAATTCTTCGCTGTAACGTTAGAATCAAGTAGTGGTTATTTTGTAATTATAATATGATCCTTTTAAACACCTTGACGTAAAGAACACATTTTTTTTAAATAAGGCAATAATGATAAATCTTTCTTTAAAAATGATTTTAATTTTTAATAGAGCATTGTGTACTATAAAAGACCGGATCACGGGTGCAATTCCTGTGTGGCTCATGGGATGTTTTTAATTGATAACTTAGAGTTAGTCGTGGCCTAAATAAAAAAGCAGCTTCAAACGACCCATTAAAATGTTACACTATGAATAAACCTATCGGCTATTAAGTTTGCTAGAGTTAAACTAAAATGAAAATTATGTAAAAATAACAGAAAAGCCTTAGAACCAGTGTTAATTTTATTAAGGCTACCTTAAAATAATTGGTAAAAGTGATTAGCGATAAAATTGAAATAGGAGCGATTTAAACGTTATGGCGGATTTGTTTTGCTTCCAAAGTAAGTTCGTATACAAAGTTGAAGGGAGTGAAGAACTGCTAATGACATTACTTTCAGGGTCTCTTAAAATGGCGTGTTTATTGCAGCATTGAGTGTTAAATTGTGACTTGGTTTTATTTAGTAACATTCATACTTACATTAGTGTATGTTTGTTTATAAAACCTAATTTCTTTAATTTAATGTAACAAATTAAATAAACTGCCTAGCGACTCACTCTCGCTTATCTCGTGCTCGTCCCTAGGTGACAGAAAAATTAACTCAACGGTTATTTTTTTTGACATGAATTAAAGCTTTTATAATCTAGGAGCAAATACATTTTTATCACAATAAAATAGCCTCTAGCACTTGGCAGTAATATAGCTTCCTATAACGGAAATAATTTTGAAAATCGGATCAGAAGTTTCAGAGATCCCTTACAATCTTACAAACTTTACCACTTCTTAGTGTAGATGCAAAATGTATTTGTTCTTTTTGTCCGTCTACTTTTTTCTATACAGAAATCGGACAGTGCAATAGTGTACTGATACCCTCATGTAAATTGTGGATTCCATGGGATATAAAGTTATGGGGTTCTGTCATAAGCCAAGGGAAGTGTGTTTTGTATAAAATTACCAAAAATATAGTTAAAACTTACAGCGATGAACATCCAAGTAGGCTCACTGCGGTTTCTAAATCTTTTCAGGCACTGTATGGTGTCCGCTTTTGCCTGAGAATTTAAAAACTATACTGAGCAAGTGATAAATTCTATAAAACTATAATACAAAAAGTTAGTTGAAGCGACTTTTAATGGTACAAATGAATTTTTTCGTTACTCTTACCACAGCAAGATGTAGGTTGTCCCCACCAATTTCCACTTTTATTTTCTTGAGGTTTCCAACCATGCCGATGCACGGTCCGCACCACTCCGTGTAGACGTCGATAACTTGTAAAAGTTATGAATATATAGGCTTAAAGGTTATTGGTCGCAGAAAATTCTTAATTTTAAAATATTGTTATCTATATAAATTAATAACATCTGATTCCTAATACTCAGACCAATATAAAATTTGGGTGTGATTTTTTCAAATTATCTCCTGATGTTTTTATACTTGTTAATTTATTCTTTATTTCTAATTATTCGAAAACATCTCTAGAAAACTTAGCCCATATGTAACTTAATATATGTGTATTAAAGTTAGCTTAGCATAACTTCAAGCCTGGCAATATAGATGGAGAGAAAATACGCTTTGCTTTCGTCTTTCCCTCGCTGTTGAAATAATACTGAGAAGTTCCCAATAACTATACATATATAACTAAGTTCAGTAATCGTGATTACTTAACTTTCATGTATGACTGTTAACTTAACTATTAGAACTTAAAACATGAGCATGCTTACCCAGAAGCCCATCTCGCAAGAGAAACTTGTTCCAATCATCGTCAGTATTGAGCTCCGCCTGCAACTGTACTTGCGCGGCCTTCTTGCCTGCACCGGCCGCGGCGGCGGCGGCGGCGTTCGCGACCGCGCTCGTAATGGACATGGTGCCGAGTGCCGCATGTGTGGATGTGATGGGATGGGAGGCATTGCAATGTTTAGACAGGACATGTTTTTAATTAAAATATATTTCTAGGATTTGTGGAAAGTTAGATGATATTAGGTTTATGGGGAATGGTTTTGTTATCGTTCATATACCCATGATTGGTAGCGTGAAAAAAATGATATATACACTCCTTTCTTGCATTACGATAAATGGATAGGAGGATTTGTTTGTTTATTCCATATTTGTAATAAAAATTAGGAATTTGTGGACTAGGAACATGGCACTCGGCAGTTATATGTATTTAAATTAAAAGTAATTCTAAATCTCTATCAAAATTATCTTCGTGCATTCTTTCTCTATCAATCTTATAGGCTTTTATTCTTGAACACTCAGACTTAGTCTGAACTCACCACTACGCTTACTACGCGGTCTACGCGCGTAGCATTTATATATAACTACCACTATTGTCATGTACATACTACATACGTCTACACTTGCTCTATCGTTATATTACTACACCAAAAATATATGTAACTTACAAATTTTAATCGATCGATGAAAGAAAATATTTTTATTTATGTCAAATTCCATTTAGGTACTTTGTAACTACGAGTATAGTTACATAGATATAGAATTAGAATAAGTATCTTTTCAGCAGAACTGCTTTACGACCCGGTGGTAACTTCCTCACGTACGGACTGTACTGACTCTCTTTAAATTAAAATGACGATTCAAAAGTGCGTGTACAAATCTAATTGAATAAAATTTCATTTCAATTTCATTAATTTTATCCTTTCTCCTAGGTGCTATAAGGTACTCCAGGGACACTAATTTAGAGAGAGAGAGAGAGAGAGAGTTGAGAGAGCCTATCAAATTTTCACCAGAAATAAGTTTGCTGTAGAGATCTGAACTACCACCATGGCAAAAAAGCCGCCGTGTCGTTGATGGGACGCCACAGCGGCTCTATGGACCGCTGAGTTTTAGAATTTATTCTAGTAATATTTCGAAGAGTCCCACATAAAACAACATCATTGTCTATAGTAACTCATGAAGTATACCTACGTAAAACCAATACTTATTTGTATATTTTTTTAATATTTATTTCATATTTTAATGTGAAATATATTTTAAGAAAAATCAGATACATCGGCAATTTATCTAAAAATATATGTAAATATGAATATATTAAATGGTAGTAAGATTAGAGTCCTAAATGAAATAGACTTTAAGTTAAAAAAACATTGTATTTTATCATTACTGGAAGATGACGTAATTGGAACTAATTGCACGTAGTTACTATATCGGATGCATAGTTAAATATTTTTTCTATTTCCTATTTTTTATTTGGTACTTCTGCTAACTTCAAAGCTCTATCGTATAAAGCTCGCATGACTAGAAATCGAAAAACATAAGCTTTCTAACGTGAATTACGTTTTATTGGATTCTTTCTATCATCGTGGGCACACTTAAATTATATTTATAAGTAATTCAAGTAAATTACTTATAAATGTAATTTAAGTGTGCCTGTTTATATAGTTATTGTAGAAAACGAAAGCTCAAATGATAATTTAAAAAACTGCTTATCTTTTTGTATCTTTTTATATCCGGAATGGGTCAACTAAGGGTTAAAACAAATCGTCTATGAAAAAGTGTACTTGCTGGCAACTTGCGATTGGCATGACATTGTTTTTGACACAGAGTTTATATATATGGGTTATAGTGTTTTATTATTCTACTTTTGTTTTAATAAAATGGTTCTTGCGAGATAATACTATGATAATCTTATTTAAAAAACTATGAATACTTTAGTTTTCTTTTACCGGAAGAAAAGAAATGCATTCGAATTCTCTTTTTGCCAACCTTCTGCCAAATCTTGAAAGCTTCGTTATTATCGGTTGTTTTGTCATCTTCCTAGATGGAGCCCTATTTATATTATAATACATTTAATCGTAATGTTCATGTCCATATATTTTTTACATTTCCATTCTTCAACGATTGTAGATATTAATATTAAGTATTGTTGTTATGGATAGGCTTAAATAACTATTTTTTTATTTGGAATTATTATTAATTTGCAACACTTTTTCTTTTATAACATTAGAAAGCATTTTTTAGCTTTTATATAGAACTATCTATTTCCTATCTGGTTAAAGACATTGTGTTTCGGAAACATGGCCAGCTTTGGGCTTACAAAGTCATAGTCTGATATTATAAAATTGACGAAAAATATGTTAATTCGCGGTGGTAAGACGTTATAATATTAAATGGGCAATTCTTGTATACCTATACATAAATTTATTTCGTTTATATCGGGTACGGCTCAAAAGATTTGGATCAAATGCATTTAGACATAGTTTTGCTGTAAGTTTATCTATGGAGGTGTTTTTTTTTAAAAAAAAAAACAATTTAATTGTTAACAAATTTAAACGCTCGGCGTTTTTCGGAAAGACTACATCTTTCGCCGAGCTGAGCGAAGCTCTTCGCGGTCCTTCGGCCGCCCAGGTACTATTAAATTATGTGTTAAATTAATATACTTTGTATACCTGTACAACTATTTTTTGATATCATTATACTCGTATAATATGAACAAAGATAGTTCAATTAATATTTTTTGAATAGCGACATCTATGCTGGCTCTAATCATTTACCAGACAATCCGCTGGTTGGTATAGGTGGCGTGTTTGTACTAACTGTTCATAGAAAAAATTGCAGATGTCGCTGAAAAATGTGAAACTACATAAAAGAAAATTAATTAATGAAAGTACAAAAATGTAATTACAGGATTGATATTATAATACTACTAGCGACTCACCCTCGTTCCGCTCGGTTCGTCCCTCTCCCTAGAACCGTTTTAACGGTTAGTATAGATTTCTTAGAGATATTTTCCCGCAGTAAAATCTATCCTATATGTTGACCCTGATAACCAGCTATCATCATACCAAATTTCATCAAAATCTGTCCAGAGGTTTTCTCGTGATACTGTCTCAGACAGACAGACAATTAAACACAATTGGTGTCAGTTTCAAGAGAACTTTTGCATGGGATTGTGTCTTCTTAGATCGATGACTATAGATAACAACCAATTGTTTAAGAGTATTAACAAATGTAAAATTTATTAGCTTTACAATAAATTTAAATTCAGTGACAGATTAGTAGCTGCTCGGTCAAGGTTCGACCGTAATTGCAACACCATATTAACAGTGATTTATCGAAATATGCAAATGCGTTTCGCGTTGTCAAATTAGTTCGAGTACAAACTATATATTATATTAGCCGTGCAGTTAAGGATGTAACTAGTTACTATACCTGTCAACACTAAAGCCGTGTCCAAACTCCAAACTGGCATCTAATTTATTTTTTTAAAGATTTTTATTGAACATAATAACATACATATTAAAAACAGTTAGATCGTAAGTAGCTGTATTAGTATAAACTGTGTCGCAGCTATTTACGCCCACCTCGGGACAATAAGGACAGTTATGTTCTAAGGTTAGTACAAATATATTATTAGGGTGTGTTAGCAGGATTAGTTACTATTATAATGATATTAATTTAGTTTAAGCTTATATTTATAAATTATACGAATCCTTAGGAGATGAAGATAGAACAATCAGGTTGGTAAGTTTTATAGTAGCGTAAGTACTACACTATATATATATATATATATATATATAATCCCCAACTCAGCAGAAGAAAGTTTGGGAAACCTTACGCTAGACAATTCTGTAGTAACTGAGCGGCGACAGAACAACAGTCAAAGCGTCAATATATATATATATATATGTAAAGTTTGCTCAACTGGGAAACTTTGAAGCTATTAACAAGAAAATTGAATTGAATTCAATAAAAGAAAGTAAGTATGACAATATACATCGCTGGAGTCACGTGCCTCGTGTATCCCTCATGTCCCGCACGATCGCCCTGTGTAAAGGCCTTAATTAGACTTGAATAGATTAGTAGACTGTGGTATTACTATGAGATATATCCCATTTTACAAAAATTATTCAAAAGATCTTCTACAAAATTATTTTCGTTGAGAATATTTGAAGACCTATTATCCCAGTTTTTTTCCAAAATTTTCCAAAAAAATGCTTTAATAATAATTAGAGGGGGAGAGGAGGTCAAAGAGTGAGATGTGGACAATGTTGCAGTCACTGAACAAAAGAATTAAATTTAACTCAGCAACTATTGGCTTGAACAAAAGTCACTTGAAAACTACCTTAATTTGAAAGACCTATTTAGAGATATGTATTTATGAGAGCTTTGACTGTTGTTCTGTCGCCGCTCAGTTACTACAGAATTGTCTAGCGTAAGGTTTCCCAAACTTTCTTCTGCTGAGTTGGGGATTTTAACGATTTTAATTTATTTTAATTTAAAGTAATTCAAAATAAACTCTCTCTACCACCCCTTCGGCGTGCCCTGGGAACTCCTGGTCACCCTAGCGGTTCACATGAGACACTCAGCTTTCTGCAATGTACCTCCCATAGTCTTTGAATAAAATGGCTTTGACACATGAACCGACGGACAGATGAAAATGGTGAAAATGGAATATTAAAACTGTGTGAAATAATAATTTCAAATATTGTATGGAATCAGTTAGGACAATTTTTATTTGATATCAAAGATAATGGAATAAAAAAAAACACTAAAGTATTAAAATATAGGTATCATTATTGATGGCATTCAAAGAGGAGGTAACTACTTAATTTATCTGTTTCTATGGGTCTGTATTTATGTGTATTGAATTTCATCATTCTTTTTTAATGAATTGGTAATACTTAACATAAATAGGAACTAACACGTAAATTTCAGAAATGATTCTACCTTTAAGGGTTTTTTAAAGTGAATAGGTAAGTGAATAGGTAAGTGAATATACGTAATTTAAAAAAAAATATATAATAGCTTACATTTCAATCATAATCAATACTTTAAACGTCCGCCATTTCGCGCGCTTGGCGTGACATCACAGTATGATATATACAGAGAAATGACAACTCAAT